ATTTTGAAATTGTAGAATAAAAAGTGAATTATACCATGCAATTTGATACATCTAATTTAAAATAAAAATAAAAAAATGAATAAAAAATATATTTTTAATTCATTAATTTAAAATGGTATAGGAAATTTAATAGGAACGTCTTTGAATTTGTCTAAATTTAATTAATATGTTTACATATACTTAAAAATAAAATTTTAATCTAGCGAACCCTTATTATTATTATTAGTCAAACTTGAATAAGTTTACACCAACTAAGTATTCGTTTTACTCCTTTGTTGGGTGGTTGATATTGTACTTTTAATTATTTTGTTTTATATCTTAAATATATTTTAAATTTGTAAAAATGTTATACCTATACTATATTATATCTTCATCCTTTTTTCTTAAATAAAAAGTAAATTATCCCCATTAAAAAATATATATAATTTTTATAGAATTAATTCATGATTTTCACATTAAAAATAAAATTTTAAATATTTTAATAGTATAATTTTAATTTTTTAAAATAAAATATATTATATTAATGCAAAAAAGAAAAGAAAACCTAATTTCCAATTATCAATCGAACCGATAACCAAATTAATTCGCTTACATGTACATGTTCAATTTTTTGAACTATTTATTTTTAAATGACATAGGTGTAAAAAATAAAAATATATACTACAATTAAGAAAATTTATTAATTGCTTCGGTTGGGCAGAGGCAGCAAAGTGTTAGTTGGGATTGGTGGAGAGTGGGGCCCAAATAATCGTGCAGTCCCGGTTGGCCAATCAAAATTCAGTCTCAGAAACTATCAATAAATGGGTCCGTTTATGTTAGGAGGGTTTTTGGTAATCAATTATTTAAAAGAATTTTTAGTTTATTGACCAATAAATTAGTTAATTTTGATGTATGGTAAATTAATCTTTTCAAATAACTTATTTGGTAAAAAAAAAATTAATTTTGAAAAAGTTGTATATACGAACTCTTCAAATTAGCTTTTTCATTTTAATTTTTTTTATTTTTTATTTTTTTTGAAAATTAATTAATTCCTTTTGTATATATTCATATACTCCCTCCGTCCCCGTGAAAGAGTGGCTTTTTCTTTTTGCACGTAGATTTTTTAATATTAATATTATATTTGATTGAAAAAGACAAAAATACCTCTGTTAGTATAGTGTAATATAAAAATAATGACATTTGTGTAATATATTGTAAGTTGGAAGGATATTTATTATGTTAAGTAAATTATACAATTATTAAATTAGAAAATGGTACCTTGTTTTGGGATGGACGAAAAATGAAAAATGACAACTTTTCAATGGGACAGAGGGAATATATTTTTTTTATTACACTACTTATTAATTATTTAGATATATTTTATTCTAATAACTTATAAATTTATATTTATGAATTTAAAATAATTATTTTTTTTATATGTCAATTATCTTATTTATAATTTTTTAAAACTTTTTAGAATAAAGATAATATAAAAATATTAATATTATTGAATCAATTATATAGTATTTTTTATTACATAGTATTTTTAGTAAAAATGAATATATTTATTTAAAATTATAAATTTAATGTAAATATATATTAATTTAAAATTAATCTAATAAAAATACATATAATAATATTTTTTGTTCTTTTATATTTATACTAATTCTAATGAAAAAAATATAGTATATTTTTCAATAAGTTTGAATTAATTCTTTACAAAATATTTTTAAAATAATAAAAACAATTATCTTACTAAAAATTTTCTAATTCTTAAAATTAATAATAAAATTATAAAAAGGTCTCAGCCATAAAAAAAACTTAATTAAATATTTTGAAAATAAAATATAAATTGTCCTTAATTATCTTTTTACATATAAACAGCTAACATCAAACCGTTATTTTACCAAACATTTTAATACAAACAGCGAATCGAATTAGCTAGTCAAACCAGCTAATCTAATCAGCTAACAACTAATCGAATCAGCTAACAACTAACAACTATCAGCTAATTGCCAAACACACCTTACATATTTTGAATTAAATTTAATAAATATTTTGTAAAAAAATATATCATACTCCTATATTTTTTTAAAACCTTATGAATTGAATAGTACTAATAGTTTTGATATGAAATTAAAATTAAACACATCCTTAGTCGACTTTTAATATACATTTTTTTTTAATATACAATTTGTATTTTAAAGTTTTAACATTATTCAACGGTCATTTTTTTAATTTTATTTTATTAAAATTTAAAGTTCTTCTATACAATTACAATGTTAACATTAAAAAACACACACACACAACAAATATATTAACTTTTCAAATTTTAGTATTTTAAAATTCTCAAAAACTACAAAATTTCCAAATTTCTTATGATTTTAATATTGTGGGGATAGTGTAGAATTAAGGGCACGTCCCAATTGAGTTTGTAACCCTTTTTATTTATTGATTGACTATTAAAATGACTAAGTAGTTTAAGTAATATATATATATATATATATTTTCGAACTTGCAATTATATTGAACAATATAACATAAATGATTAAAATATGATATAGGTAGCATAGACATGCACGACTTCAAGCTTGTGGCTGCCTTTTCCATCCGTAACATTCAAGAGGTTGTGTTTCCGATTAATTCGAAAGTGTTTGTCTGTGGGTTTTAGGTTTTGGGTTTGAATTTTTAATAATAAAAAGTTAAATATGAATAGTTATTTGATGCGATATAAATAGAGTTGATGTGATATTTTGTACGTAAAATAAATTTGTAGTATAATATAAAAAAAAGTAATTATTTGATATGATATTTGTGAAAGAAAAAAATAATGTGAATAGTAAAAATTTGTAGTAAAAGCAACAAAAGAACGTAACCTTAGTTCTTTATTTAAATAATATTAGATATAATATATATATATATATATATTTTTGTAATGTAAAGTCCAAGTGATAAAAAAACTATATAGAGAGCGAAAAGAATTCATTTTGTGTCTCCCCTTACTTCTTGTTGCATTTGAAGTGTAGATAATAAATAAGAAATAAAATAAAATATATAAAAGTGGGAGGGCTTAAATAGCTTTAATGGCCCTCCAATATTGCTACCTATATTACTGTTGGGGACAACTTGTAAAGCCCAGATATGTATATATACATACAAATCTACACATGAATAATAATAGGAATTCACCAAACTCCATTACCACTTATTTATTTATTTTATTTACTATTGGTAATTTTTTTAGAGGTGAGTTTTGTGTCATCCCGGATTTTATCTCTTAAAGCATCTGTTATAGTTATTACCTTTATCTTATTATCTCACTCATCTAATTATATTTATCTAAATATTTAAACTATTTTATTTATTACTTGTTATAAAAATCACCTATAACACATTATCTTTATTATTTTATAATTTCACAATAATTTATTTATTTCTATATATTTCACTATTGAGTAATATATATAAATAATTTATTTATTTATACATATTTTTATATATTCTTATTATATAATAATATATTAACTTTTGAATATTAATATTAATATATATAAAAATCAACATATATATTAATTAAAAACAACATGAAAAAGAATTGTAACATAATATAAACGTATAAAATAAATATATAAACTTAAAAAATATTATTTTTTTTGTCAAATTATGTCTAACAATTTAATTTAAAACACTAGTAATTTCGTTTAATTGAATACGAAAACATAGAGAATTGTTCATGAAATTTAAATATATTTATAGATAATTTATGTTTAATTTAAATTTTAAAAATTTAAAATTTCAAAAAAATTTGGATAGTTTTTTAATTTGTTTTTATTTTTTTATTGTTGAAGGTAATAAATTCTAGGTAATAAATTTTGATAATTGTATTTCTTATTAAAAGTAATGAGTTTTTGTTATAGTAAAAACTAAAAAAAAATAACGAAAGAGATAATTGTAACAAATGCTCTTGTAGTCACACTTGTACGAAATAATTGAATATTTAATTTTTTGAATTCATTATAAAAACCAGTAAACTATAGAATAAAAATGAAACCGATATACTATATTCTATTAAAGTCTAGCTTTGTTTCGATAAATGTTTGAATTTATATCGAAAATAAGGTGTCCAATACAACTTCTAAACTGGCTATACATATATACACGTAGGCAATCTTGAAATTATTGTGCAGTTTTGTAGGAGTTGGGGTCCACAGCTTCCAAACAACCTTACGAGTGTGATTAACTGCCCCGGCGAGTTTTAACATTGAAAATACGAAGACTCATTAACTATTAACTAACGAATATATTTTTGTTTATTATTTAAAAGTATTATTGTTTTTATTAAAATATACTATACAATATAGTATATTGAATATTCTATAATATTAACACAATTATTAGTAGTTAAAAGACTTCTGGTTTATTTGTTTTGTAAAAAAATAATATATTATACACGTTATTTTTATATCATATATGCATATTTTTTTTAAAAAAAACACTATTTCAAATTATTTTTCAAAATAAACAAACCCTTCAGATCCAATACGAGGTTATAGGCTCAACTGTTTGTTATCATTTATTTATTTATTTATTTTTAAAGAATGATTTGGAGTAATTTACTAACAATAATTAGTTTAATGACTGGTCTGTGATTCAGCATAACAAATTCTACATGAACTAAATCCACATATGAAAAAATAATAATTAGAAAATAAAATTCATGCCTTGCCGGATAAATTTTCAAATCACAAGAAACGAAAAGGAAAGCATTAACTAGGGTCAAATTATTAGGGGCCCCGGCCCCCAACCCCCCACACCCGCCCCCCCGTCCCCACCCCCTGCACTTACACAGTAGCCTTCTTCCTACCATAAGTAGCCCACCCCACTTTCCTCCCGCTTTCCTCATACCTCCAAAACCCTTCCCTCCATTCTCCCCACTCACGCCTTTTCTCCTGCAACTACTTCCTCGCTTTTTACTCATCCTTCTCACATTTTCCACACCAAAACCCTAATTTATAGCTGCAATGAAGTTGCTCCTCTGCATTGCCGCCGTTTTATGCTCTGCCGCCCTCTCTTCCGCCAGAATCCCCGGCGTGTACTCCGGCGGTCCTTGGGAAACAGCGCACGCCACATTCTACGGCGGCAGCGATGCCTCCGGCACCATGGGTATAAATTCCCCTCCTCTGTTTAGATTACTGTAGCTCGAATCTAAGTCTGTTGAAATTGAGCTCTGCTCATGGTGTTTGTTGTGTTTTGACTTTAATGTAGGCGGTGCTTGTGGATACGGTAATTTGTACAGCCAAGGCTACGGCGTGAGCACGGCGGCGCTCAGCACCGCGCTGTTCAACAACGGCCTGAGCTGCGGCGCCTGCTTCGAGATCAAGTGCGACGCGGCGCAGGACTCCAAGTGGTGCAACCCGGGCAACCCTTCCATCCTCGTCACCGCTACCAATTTCTGTCCTCCCAACTACGCCCTGCCCAACGACGACGGCGGCTGGTGTAACCCTCCCCGGCCGCACTTCGACCTCGCCATGCCTATGTTCCTTAAAATCGCGGAGTACCGCGCCGGCATTGTCCCCGTCAACTTCCGCCGGTAAAATCCTACACTAAACGCAGTTTTTACATACCTAATTAATATGCATAATCGTAACTCCATTGATGACCTATCTCCTCGATAAACACGAACCGTAACTGTCACCGCTTGAGTAAAAACCACCGTCACTGTACATTCGAAACGTCATTCCATGTCAAAATTGATTTCTCCATTACAGAAAGCATGTTCGCTTAAGCATGTTATCTTTTCCATTTTCCTGTTTCCCAGATTTGAAGGCCCATTGCTTTTAATCCTCCATAAATGTAGTTATCAAATTCTTCAGAAGGCATAGGTGTGTAGGGCCATTAATTTGTGGTAGTTGCCGGAATCTGCTGCGTTTGGTGTCGCCTAACTAACAGAATCCCTGCTTTTCCTGCTTTACCGTTGTGGGCGATGCTGCCCTTCCGTATTGACCAAAATACCCCTCCCATTTCCCCTTTAATTGCTGCCCTGTTTAAATACGCTTTCGACTTTATTTAGGTCCACTACGTTATTAATGCTCCTCCATTGCTGTCTTCTTGCTTTTACCTTAATTGTGGCAACCAACACCAACAGCCTTCTGCTGCAGAAGCATTCTGCACAGCCCACGATAGATAATTCAGACTTGGGCTTATGTTGTTGGTTTGTTTTAATTATTTATTTCATTTTTTTTTTGGGTACAGGGTTGCGTGCAGGAAGCAAGGGGGGATCCGTTTCACGATCAACGGATTCCGTTACTTCAATTTAGTTCTGGTGACCAACGTGGCAGGCGCAGGGGACATCACCCGCGTCAGCATCAAAGGTACAAATACGCAGTGGCTGGCAATGAGCCGCAACTGGGGGCAAAACTGGCAATCCAACGCCGTTCTCGTAGGCCAATCACTGTCCTTTAGAGTCACCGCCAGTGACCGTCGCACTTCTACCTCCGTCAACGTGGCGCCTCCCAATTGGCAGTTCGGGCAGACCTTCATGGGCAAGAATTTCAGGGTCTAGACTCTCTTTCACTACCCTTGGGCTTGGCTCTGATGAATTTGTGTGTATTGTTTTCCCCTTTTTCCTGGGAAAGAAAAATTGTTGGATTTTAGAAAAAAAAATGATTCGTCGTCATATCGCTAGGGACTGTCCAAAATGTGTTTGTGGTGCTATTTTAGGAAGTAAATTAGAAGAACAAACAAAGTTTGTGTAGGCTGCAGAGGCTGCAGGAGAAATGGAAAATACATGTAGCCCGCAGCTTCAATTTTATATATTAACATGAAGTAATGTGTGTGTACGTTTCTATTTGAAATTTAATCCCATTTCCTATAAACTAGTTGATGCAAATTGGGACACTGAAGGAAAGAAGAACACTATGCACAATCATAGGGCAATTAGAGGCAATTAGAGTACACATACCGTTGCACCTATCAATTAATTACGGCTCAAGACCACAACCATACCGACCGGCTCATGCACAAGGAGACGAGCCGCCGTACGGTCTGGGATTCGACCGGCGGGAATTGGGTCTCGCAACTGCCCGACTGTGCCCGTTTAAATTTGAATGGTGGTGCTTCTGATCCGGTTTCAGGGTGCAGTCGGAAGAACGGTGGTGAAGCTGCTCCAGAATTGCTACGACTTCATCCATGTCCGGCCTCAATCTGGCTTTGGCGTGCAGGCATTCGAGCGCAAGTTTAGCCGCTTTCGATGCTTGATCCATTGAATACTGACCGTTGAGGCGACTATCCAACACCTGGGTAATCCCTCGTTTGCTCGTCAGGTAAGGCTTTGCCCACTTGACCAGGTTTTGCTCGCCCGATGGCCGGTTCTTGTCTATTGCACGCTTACCGGATAATATTTCTACAAGAACCACGCCAAAGCTGTACACATCGCTCTTGGTGGTTAAATGCCCTGTATGTAATGAGAATCAATTTGTTTGTTAGGACATCGTCAAAGACTCGAGTTTTAGTACTCGTGTTTACCGGTGGAGAGATACTCGGGAGCAGCGTATCCATATGTCCCCATGACTCTGGTCGACACATGGCTTTGATCGCCGGTCGGGCCGTCTCTTGCCAGCCCAAAATCCGAAAGCTTGGCATTGTAGCTCTGTAAATTATTGAATTCAGTTAAGCTTACATACTAACCTCCACAAGCATGATTGAAAAGTACTGAAAGTAAGGTATGTCGTTATACCGAATCGAGCAGAATATTCGACGTTTTGAAGTCCCGATATATTACTTTCGCCTCGGCGCTGTGGAGAAATGCAAGCCCTTTGGCTGCGCCGAGGGCGATTTTCGTTCTCAGGCGCCACGAAAGCGGCTGGATATATGAACCTCCTAGTTTCGGACAAAATGGATTAATTCACTAAATTCTTGGAGAGAAATTACAGAGGCTATTGTAAATTTGTAATAGTAACAAAATCATATGAACTCACTTCTAAATAAGTGATTCTCAAGGCTACCCCTGGGCATGAACTCATAAACCAGAAGCCTGTGATCATCTTCCAGACAGTAACCCATCAATTTCACGAGATTGGGATGGCGAAGCTGTCCCAGATAATTGATTTCCGCCTGTCCCAACACATACATAAATTCTGTCAATTTAATTAAGGATGTAAGAAAAAGTAATGTGATGAATCCGCCATTACCAGCCATTCCCTGTGTCCCTGAAGCCCGTCTTGATTCAGCCTCTTAACGGCGACGACGATACCCGTCCCGGGTTTAGACGCCGTCAAGGAGTGCTCGTCAACCCAGCCCTTGAAAACCGACCCGAACCCGCCCTCCCCTATAACGCTGTCGGGACGGAAGTTTCTGGTGGCTGCCCGAAGCTCACTGACCGTGAAGCTTTTAAGGTTTGAGGACTGCAGTATTTCGCCTTCGCTTCGAGGAGTTTGAGGTATTGACATCCAAGAATTCTTGCTGCTCGAATTACATGATAAGCGATCCGTCCCATCTCCTGAAAGTGTATTCACATAAATCATGTCGAAATTACAAGATATATGTAAAATTAAAGACATTGAATGATATGGATTGTGAGCAGTACCAATTGCGCTGGGAAAAGGGCTCTCAGCCTTGATCTGGTTGCTGAAGCAAATGCCCATTTGACAAAAAAAAAATCCCCAAATTTCTTACAAAAATGAAACCCTAATTTTATGAAGAGGAGGCACAGCTAGCAGTGAAATTCCATTTCTATTGTATCTGTATTCATTACAAACCAGATCCGATGTGAATCCTCTGAATTTCTTTCATGGGAATTAAAGCTATTAGGTGTCAGCCACCGACCAAGTCCCACCGCACGTAGCTAGCTTCCTTTCTCTATCCCTTACAAATGAATTTAAGACAGAAAAGACGAAGGTTGATGAAGAGGAACAGGTGTCGTTCTTGCAACTTGGTAGTATTCCTTTATCTCTGTTAATAATCAACAATTGGGGTTGAAACGTCTTCTGCCTGCCTGCCTGCCATGTCTTTCATAGGACAGACAATTTTGAAGAAGGAAACCAACGCTTTGCTACTTTTCAAAATGAAAGCCTGCCTAACAATCAGCCAGTCACTACATAACGTAGTTATCTATCGTCTAGTGTATGCATTTTCGGGTGCGTCTCTGTGGTGTCTCTAGAAGAAAAATTGGGGTGTGTTTTGATCAGGTTCTCTAAGGATTTTTATTATTTTTTAAAAAAAGTTAAATTATATAATATTTCCATTAATAAAAATACACATATTTATGTTAATTTAAAATTGGATAAATTACATAATATTCTTGTTTGATCAGTAGAAATACACAAAATATATATATTATATTTTATTTATTGCGTTAAATTTTTTGTGTTATTGTAAAGTTTATAAAGATATTATGCAAGTTTTATAAAAATAAAAAATGCAAAATGTTTTAAATATTTTTTTTAATAAAGTAAATAAATAAATAATTAATCAACCATTTATTTTTATTTTTTTATAAAAATAAAATAAGCAAAAATTATAAAATAAAGGATTAATTAATTAATTAATTATTTATTGTATTAAAAAATTATTTAAAATATTAAAAAAATTTATTTGTATAAAACTTCCATAATTTAAATATTTATTTAGAATCAAATATTATTATTATTATTTTTTGGCAAGAAGGGTGTCTAAAGTATGATTTAGTTCTAAATAAAAATAAAAATTATATATTTATTAGTTTTAAGAAATAAAATTATTGTTTTTTTAATTTGAATTTTTAAATTTAAATATCATTTTAATATAATATTTGAAAAAATAATATATTTTATAAAAAATTATATTTAAAATTCAAAACAAATACTACGAGCAAAGAAACAAATTCGGATCCAAATTTTCTTCTAAATAATTGGGCCTTTATTGAGATAGCTTGCAAACCCAGCCCATTTTTGAAGGTTCGGAAAATTAGTGATGTAATTAAAATAAATTATTAAACCAGCCCAATTATAAGTTCATGCGCTAAACCCGTATAAATAAGTACAGAAAAATACTAAACATGTTCAAATTATTCAATTTAACAGGAGGTTAATATTCACCTAATGTATGAATTTGTTTATTTAGTATTTTGTTTTGAAATATTTAATTTTTAATATAAAATACAATAAATTATGTTATTAATATAAAAATATAATATTTTATATTTAATATATACATATTTTCTAATAATCATACGTGTATAAATATGATTGGAATAGCGAACCCATTATATATATATATAGATTTTTGACATGCTTATTAGTATTAATACATATATATATATATATAATATGTATGTGTGTTCGATATTGAAAAACTAGGATAGAGAAATAAATAGGTTTCATATTTGTAGATAACTGATTATGGTGTTAACCTTTATTAAATTAGTAAAATCATTATACTATACATAACTAATTTTGACAAAAATAAGTTATATTAGAAGAATATATGTAATTTCAAATCATGAGTTCATCCCATGCCAACATTTCAACAAAAAAATTGTGTTATTTTTAATAAACACAAAATTTGTATAAATTATATTTGATTTGAATTCAAAGCAGTATCTATTATCTAAATTGGTCATTTGATTCTCCTTCCGGGTCGATTTGTTTTTCAACTTAGTTTTCGATGGCTTCTTTGATCCGAAGAAGTTTGGTTTTCGGTTTGACTTTGCCGGCTTTTGGAGAGCTTTGGTTTCCGTGCTGGCGATTTGATCGTCGGCTTTGGATTTGATGTCTTCTTTAGACGATCCGCAACTTTGATATTTGTTTTGGCTTTGCCGCTTTTGGAGGACTTTGGTCTCCGTATTGACGATTTGATCGTCGTTTTTGAATTTGTTGTCTTCTTTAGACGATCCGCGACTTTGACCTTCGCTTTGGCTTTGCCGCTTTTGGAGGACTTTGGTCTCCGCGTTGGCGATTTGATCATCATCTTTGGATTTGTTGTCTTATTTAGACGATCCGCGACTTTGACCTTTGCTTTGGCTTTGCCGCTTTTGGAGGACTTTGTTCTCCGCGTTGGCGATTTGATCATCGTCTTTGGATTTGTTGTCTTCTTTGGACGATCTGCAACTTTGACCTTTGCTTTGGCTTTGCCGTTTTTGGAGAACTTTGGTCTCCGCGTTGGCAATTTGATCATCGTCTTTGACTTTGTTGTCTTCTTTAGACGATCCGCAACTTTGATCTTTAGTTTGTCTTTTTCGCCTTTTGGAGAGCTTCGGTCTCCGTGTGGGCGATTTGATCATCAGCTTTGGATTTGATGTCTTCTTTGGACGATCCGCAGCTTTGATCTTTGATTTGTCTTTTCCGCCTTTTAGAGAGCTTCAGTCTCCGTGTGGGCAATTTGATCCTCAACTTTGGATTTGATGTCTTCTTTGGACGATCCGCAGCTTTGATCTTTAAGAAGGTGGATTTGGTGCTCCATAACGCTTTTGGCGTCGTGTCCCTTTGACTTTTGGATCGAAGAGGGCCGAGTGGTTGCTTTGGTGAAGAATGCTATGAACACCTCGAAGCTTTGGGATGAGCTTTGGAGGCTCTTCATTGACTTTGATGGATTCCTCGATGGCTTTGAGAGCTTTGATCCTTCATCGATTCGTCAACCAATATTGGATCATTTGTCCACATCAGTGACTTTTCGACGAACGCTTCGAAGGACACGAAGAACAATGAAGAACAATGAAGAGAGTCTAAAGAGACTTACCCTTGCGCGAGTTTTCAAATGAACTGACCATGGCTCCTATTTATAGGGGAGGGTGGCATTGGCTTCCTTTTCGGATGGTGCCACGTGGATGGAAAGATTTTATAATCTTCCCTTTTCCATTAGATGTTGTTTTCCATTCTTGACGGATTTGATTGCGCACCTTCCTCGCCAAAATCTTTATATCATTGTCTTTTTTGAAAGATATTAATTTATATACTTCATTTATTGACAAGATCTTTATATCATTGCCTTTTTTTTGGAAGATATTAATTTATATACTTCATTTAATGACAAGATTAATTTATTTTGCTTATGGCTCTGTTTATGCACGTAATATTTGTACGAAATCTTCCATTTTAAGCATATTTTTGAATTAATGATTGATATTTATTGTATAAAAATTAACATATGTGCATAATTAAATATCATATATTTATTTTATTGGAATTTTATTTTCTTCTAAAATATATGATATCTAATTGATTTTAGACATATATTTTTAGTGTCTGCAGCTACAAATTACCTTTTGCAAACATACGTTAATACACTATTTTATGAATATAGTCTTACTATAAATTTTAAAATTCAAAGACGTTTAAAATTAGGGATTTGTTTGGTTAGGATTCAAAATTATTTTTAATTAAAATATAATTAAAATAATATTTTAATATAATATTATATAAAAATATATAAATAATACTAAAACAATTTATTTATACGTAAGGAAGATTCCAGCGTTCTATACGCGAAACCGTCATTGGAGGAGGGTACAACAGCGATAGCTATGCGTACAGCTGCATCATTTATACCCCAAGAAAAGCAAAATTTATTCGGCTGGGAAGGGGAAAAAGGATCAACTTAGGTGGAGATAAATTGCTGCTGTGGTTTGAAAACCGAGAGAATTTCTAGGGTTTTGGTGAATTCCGATTGGAATTTGATGTTGTATGGTTGTCCTCTGCACTTACACCTTTCGCCGCGTCGCGTGTGGGATGAGACTGAACTTCAACCCTGGGGAGTGTAAGTTGTGGAATCAGTAAGTGGTCCTGCATCGATTGGATTCGTAGAATGTTTCGGATGGAGGTGGATTCGTCTCCGAAGGCGGTCGACCCGTCGCATTACGATCTTGTTGTCCAGGTTAGTGTTTCGCAAGAAAGAATTTTCGATAGTTTTAGGGACTCAAGCCTCTGTCCTTCCCCAAAATTTCCCAATCTTTATTATTGGTTCGTAGTGTTTTTGAATAAAAATATCTCAATAGACACTGCAAAGCGAGGGGAATAAAATCTCCTTTAGAGTGACCTCTCCCAAAGATTTAGGTGGGCATATTCATTAATTTGGGATGAACTGTTTCAAGGGAGCACAGATTGAATGCAGAAGTGCTCTCCCTTCTAGTTGGACTTCGCGTGAAACTGGAATACATTACTTCTGAAAAGTTTAAGTTTTATTTTGTTCGGAATTCTGGGTTCTTTCTATGCAAGAGCCAACGAGTTTAAATACATTGATTCTTGCTTATGGATATTTGCAACTAATGTTTTTTACTATTTAATTTAAGGAGTTAATCATTTCTCCTTTTCCACTGAAAATGTGTGTGGATACTAAGATTGCTACTCAAATATAGTGTAAAATTTTATTTCAGAGACTTTCACGGCTCGAAATTCCTGACGACGTGCTGAATGAAGGACCAAGTGGTTTAATTGCTTTTGTAAAGAGTAATAGAATCCGTATTAGCGACTTGGTGTCTGCTCTCTTGCCTACAGATGAGGAGGAGGTGGATGATTCATTATTTTGTGACTGTTTAGTTTGGTTGCAGTGGTTAATGTTTGAAGGTGATCCTGGAGCTTCGCTACAACAACTGGCTAGCATGAGTTCTGATCAGCAAGGGGTTTGTGGGGCTGTTTGGGGGAATAATGATATAGCATACCGCTGCCGGACGTGCGAGCATGACCCAACTTGTGCAATTTGTGTTCCTTGTTTCAAGAATGGAAACCACAAGGACCATGATTACTCTGTGATATATACAGGTGGTGGGTGCTGTGATTGTGGGGATATTACTGCCTGGAAACGTGAAGGATTTTGTTCGAAGCACAAAGGTGCTGAGCAGATTCAGCCGCTTCCCAAGCATATTGCAGAATCTTTGGGTCCTGTATTGGATTTATTGCTAAGTTACTGGAAAAACAAGATAGTCTCTGCAGAAAGCTTTCCAGAGGAAAGTCCTAGGGTTTGTAGTCATATTGCTGAACTAAAAAACTCTGCAGATGCTTTGACCTTTGCTATTGTGGAGATGCTACTGGGTTTCTGTAAAAATAGTGAAAGTTTGCTTAGTTTTATTTCCCAGAGAGTATATTCCTCACCTGGTTTATTGGATGTTCTTTTGAGGGCAGAGAGGTTCATGGATAGTAACGCAGTTGTCGAACTCCATGAATTACTTTTGAAAATGTTGGGCGAACCCAATTTTAAATATGAGTTTGCAAAAGTCTTTGTTCTTTATTACCCAACTACTGTAAATGCAGCCATAAGTGGTGGTGGTGATACTGCTTTAAAAAAATATACACTCCTGTCAACATTTTCTGTCCAAATTTTTACTGTGCCAACCATTACACCGCGACTTGTGGAGGAAATGAATATGCTTGGTATGATGTTTCAGTGTTTAGAAAGCATGTTCTTTTCTTGCTCTGGAGATGATGGTAGGCTTGAGGTACTACTATTCCTTTTCATACCTCAGTGTGCTGTTTCTTATTTCAATCCTTGCATTCGTACTAGTTACTAAATTTTCAGCTTTTGTTGTGTGATTGTATCTATATTACATTGGTAATTTCTTTATCTGTGCAACTGTTGTCCTCTAAAATGGCAAACAAATTAGTTTGGTTTCCCCACAGTTCATCACTAACTTCTTCTGTCACTCAATGTTTGTATATATTTTCGATATCTCAATTTTTATTAAGCCTCTGAGATTCAGTCTTCATCCTGGTTGAGGCATGTTTTGACTTAGGTTAGGTTTGGGGGTCCTGTCTTCGTCATAGAAACCTTGGAAGATACTTGTGTGCGTCACATAATCATCCATTTATGGACTGATAGAATGTGCTGTGATGTGATATATAACTCACTTATTTACTTACCTAGTACAGTCAAAGTTAAGTAACATTGGTAGTATTTGCTTCCTCTTAGATTTTAAAAACTTGACTGGCTACACCTATTTATATTTATATATGAACTAAAATAATTACAATATTGACAATGACATGTGATTGCAGCTATTTATAGATCATGTTAGTTATTTATTGAACTTGTGTAGTTTGGGGTCAAGCTACCGATGAATGTGTGGTGGTGGCTTAAGTCTGTCATGTTATATAGGATTCTTAATGAGGTTGAAATCTGTGAACTTATTCTGTCTAATTGATTTAAGAATAGGATGGTAAGTTGGTAACAGGTTTTCATTTTGTACTCAAGTTTGATGAAGTGATATGATTCAACTTGTGACTGATTAAGTGTTCGCAGTGATGCATGTGAAATGGATGGATATATGATTTGTAGGATTTTGTCAAGCTTCACATTACATATTTTGCAAGCTGATTATGCACTCTCTTTTGATATGTGTTTAGTTTGCATTACTATTGCTTGCTTTATGCTGTAGCCCCTATAAGTCTATAACCTGATGGAGTGCTGTCTTTTCCTTGATAGGCATTTAGAGTACATTCTGTACATCTGTGATAAGCGTTTAGCGTACATTTACTAGCATCTCCTTGTTATTATTATTATTATTTAATAGTGATAGTTTTATGTTGACAACACCAAGTGCTTGTCTAAGTATCTGTGTTATGTAGGACTGATCTTGAAAATATTCTTCATTTCTTCCTATTTATCTTAAAACATCCATTTCTTCCATGACCCGGAGTTCCTATGGTTTTAAATTGCCTTTTGTATTCAGAGCTTCTAGGATTTACTTTGATGTTGTAATTTCAGATTCATTCATTCATTATTTATTTATTTAATTAGCTATTTTAAAAATTTTGATGAAATTCATTTATTATGTAGTCTGTAAGCCTATTGAGGAACAAAAACTGAACTCAGCTTCTTTGCAGGTCACCAAATGGGCAAGCTTCTATGAAACTACTCTTCGGGTGATTGAAGATATTAGATTTGTAATGAGCCATTCTGCTGTGCCTAAATATTTATGCCACCATAGGCGAGATTTGATTAAAACCTGGATGAAAATTTTGGCCTTTGTGCAAGGAATGAACGCCCAAAAGAGAGAAGCAGGCAGTCACTTAGAAGATGAAAATGAGAATGCCCATTTGCCTTTCATTTTATGCAGTTCCATATCTAACATTCTCTCTCTTTTAGTGGGTGGGGCATTTTCAGTCATTGAAAGTAATGATAATATTGAAAACTATTTCATCAGCACCCAGAAAGTAGATTGCGAAGACCAAGACAGCCACAGGCATGCAAAAGTTGGAAGGCTATCTCAGCAAAGCTCCATTGGTAGTTCCTCAGGAAAAAGTATAGTGGATCATGAGGCCAAGACCTTTGATGGTTTTTCTGTTCCATCATCTGCTTTGTGGCTAACATATGAATGCTTGAGATCCATTGATTGTTGGTTGGGACTGGATGAAACATTGGGTCTTATCAGTCCCTCATCTCTGAAAACAAGCGAAGGCTCTGGCAATAATTTTTCGGCTTTAAAAAGAACTCTCTCTAAAATCCGAAGGGGCAGATATATGTTTAAAAGCTCCACCGTGGTTGAAGGTCAATTAGCCATTTCACATGAGGTTCTTAATAACCGACAGGGTTGCTTGAATGCTGGTGTGAGGTCGGATTGTCGGCAACCTGTGGGACAAGGTGCTTCTGGAGGCGGTGATGACATTATGTTAGAAGGAGAGACCAATTGTGAGGTTGAAGGCTTGCGATTACTGACTTTATCCAATTGGCCTAACATTAAATTTGATGTTAGTTCACAGGAAATCTCCATTCACATTCCTCTTCATCACCTTCTTGCAATGGTTTTGCGGAGGGCTCTCAAAGAATGTTATGGTGAATCACGATTGTCATATATTGAAAGTGGCACTACTAATCATTCAAGATATGATGACTTCCTTGGCCATATTTTAGATGGATGTCATCCCTATGGGTTTTCTGGCTTCTTATTGGAGCATCCTCTGCGATTAAGGGTTTTCTGTGCTCAGGTTCGAGCTGGAATGTGGCGCAGAAATGGGGATGCTCCTATATTGCTTAGGGAGTGGTATCGTTCAATTCGTTGGTATGTGCTTGATTGTCTGTGTTTTAGTTATTCATTTATTAGAAAAGAATGCAGGTTGACACACGTAATTATCCTGGGTTTAATATGCACTCCTGGAAATTTTTTCTTTGATTTGTTGATGCAGGTCGGAACAAGGGCAGGAGTACGATCTCTTCTTACTTCAATGTTGTGCTGCACTAGCTCCACCTGATCTTTACGTTCAGAGAATCCTGGAACGTTTTGGGCTATCAAACTATTTGTCTTTTAATCTTGAACTGCCTAGTGAGTATGTAATTTCTTCTTTAACTTGATACTTCCTTACAATGTTATTGCTATAATCACCTATTGATTTATCGGTTTCAATGTACATAACTGTTTCCAGGTCGAATGGACCATATGATGGTGATCAGTGGTTGTCGATTGTTTTTATTTTTGTTTTTATGCAGAACTTCTTTGTATGCTTATATAAAGTTTACTCTACATTTTGAAACCATTATTTAGAAGATAATACCAATCTGTGTAGAGCATCGCTAAGAACTAGTATGTAAAAGCACCATTTCGTGAAACTTTGAAATCATTGGGATAACTAATATTCCATCTACTAGTGAACAAATTGCATCCAAAAACTCACTCATTATGTGTGGTGTGGGCATGCCTGTAAAGATTACTTGTTAATTTCAAATTCACCATGCTAATGATTTGAATATCTGTCATGCTATAGAAAAAGGCTAAGTTATTTTCAAGAAAACCTTATGAGCATGAATATCATATGGTGGGTGTCAGTCTCCAAAATTGTGTTTGATACCTACAATGACCATGTGGCATGTCCACGTTGCTTTCTTTCTAGTGTCCGTGCATGGCGCTCTTATTTTTTATCTTTTTAAACAAGAAGGAACAAATGAAACTCAAAACGGCAAAAGCTTGACTATATTTAATAGTGAACATGTCCTTGGATGATCAGGTATGAACCAGTTCTAGTTACGGAAATGCTATCACTTCTAATACAAATTGTGAAAGAACGAAGGTTTTGTGGGCTAACCACCACAGAGTGTTTGCAACGAGAGTTGGTGTACAAACTCTCTATTGGAGATGCCACTCGTAGTCAGCTACTCAAGTCTCTTACTCGTGATCTTTCCAAAGTTGATGAGCTCCAAGAAGTATTGGATAAAGTTGCAGAATATTCGAGGCCATCTGGCATGGTTCAGGTTGGGATTTGTGAAGTGACAAACTCTTATTTCTTCAGTACAAAAATACAGTTTCTGCAATCCTAACAACTTTGTATCACAGGGTAAATATAAACTGCGATCCTTGTATTGGAAGGAACTTGATTTGTATCATCCTCGCTGGAACTCAAGGGATCTACAAACAGCAGAAGAAAGATATTTGCGATTTTGTAATGCTTCTGCACTGACGATGCAACTTCCTAAATGGACAAAGATATATCCCCCTCTGAGGGGGATAGCCAAAGTTGCTACTTGTAAAGCGTTGCTCCAAATTGTTCGTGCAGTACTATTCTATGCAGTTTTTACTGAAAATCGCACAGCATCACGAGCTCCTGATGGTGTTCTTTTGACTGCACTGCATTTATTAGCTCTGGCACTAGATGTCTGTCGATTACACAAGGAGTCAGGTGATACATTATGCTATGTAGATGGTGTAATCCCAACCCTGGCATTTGCCAGTGAAGATATAACCATGGGAAAGTGTGGTGATCAATGTCTGTTGTCCCTTCTTGTCTATTTGATGAGGATGCATGAAACAGAAAAGGGACAAAATTTCACAGAACCCGGCAATTTTGACCTGGCATCATTAATTTTAAGTTTAATCAAGACATTGGTAGAGCTTGATCAGGGATGCATGATGAAATTGCAGAAAATTGCTCCTCAGTTAGCTAGTAAGTATTTGCAATCCCTTTCAAGCGATAATGCTAGAGACACGGGTTTAGTTTCCAATGCAGAAATGCACAAAGCAAAGGCTCGTGAAAGACAAGCTGCTATACTGGTAAAATTTCTACTTTATATTGTTTTGAGATATTTGATTTGGTGGACTGTATGTATATTGCTTAATTGCTTTAATGAAATTGTCGTGGTTTATTTCAAAAGTATTTTATTATTCTTATGTATTTGCTTTCTCCCAATAAACTCTGTGGGGGCAACAGGTGCACAGAATATATACGAGTTTGCTGCTGTGCACTTTTGTAGATGCTGGATCTTATTTATTTGAAACACTGATTATGATTTTTGAAATAAAAACCTAGTGTGATCAGATTGTTTAGCCATTCAATATGATCAAATAGCAAGATGCAGGTACATTGTTCAAATTTTGAACTCTTGTGAGCTTATGAATTGCTCTCTCTCTCTCTCTCTCTCTCTCTCTCTCTCTCTCTCTCTCTCTCTCTCTCTCTCTCTCTCTCTCTCTCTCTCTCTCTCTCTCTCTCTTCTCTTCTTCTCACCATTTAGCGATTGTAATGCATAGGAAAAGATGAGAGCCCAACAGTTAAAATTTATGGAGAGCTTTAAGTCCGGTGACGATGATGAGATGGCTGATTTCAAAACCGAGCAAAGTGTATCTGGTCCTGAAATCTCTAACGAAACAGAAGACTCTGCCCAAGTTATTTGCTCACTTTGCCGTGATTCAAATTCCGAAAGTCCTGTATCCTTTGTAGTTCTTCTACAGGTAAGTGATTCTTCTGGTATGATTTTGTCAATCTCCATTCCACTTGATGTCATGCAGTTGGTTACATGCCTGCATCTTCATTCGACCTATTTTCATAATATCATTCTTACTGTTACTTTTTTTTCAATGAAGAAATCCAGGCTTTTGAGTTTAACTGACCGTGGGCCTCCCTCATGGGAGCAAGTTATCCAATCAGGCAAAGAGCATGTTTCGGATGAGATGGCCCCAAGTAATGATCTATCTCCTATCCTGACGTCAGATAGCTCAGATACGATCTCGCCATCACAGTTGGAAAATTTGGCTCAAAGTACTGTAAATGACTTTGCTTCCATAGGACAGCCTCAGGAAGTGAATAAATTTATAGAATTTATTAAAGCTCGATTCCCTTCTATTAAGAATGTTGAACTTCCTTGCATGACAAATGATGCAAGGGAGAGGATGGCAGTCTCCGTGGAAGTTTTGGAAAAGCATATGTATTGGTCGATGAGGGGGTTTCCGTCTAGTTTCAACAATTTAGATTTTCAATTATGCAAAGAAGAGCTTTCAGTCAATGAAAGCCACTGTACTGAATCTCTCTTGGTAGGTAAATATGTTGCTGCTCTGCCTAAAGAACATCTTAATTACCCCTCAGCTTCACAGGCCAGCTGTTCTGGCAGTGTTAGGATGGTACCAGCATCCACTGTGCAGCCTGTAGGATCTGGAAATTTAGGTCCTTCTGGCTGTGATGGAGTATATGTTTCATCCTGTGGACATGCAGTACATCATGAATGTCTAAATCTTTATTTAGTATCACTTAAAGACAGGTAGATCTTCTTGTTAATGCTTTTACTTCTTCCTGGGTACAGCAACACTACGTTATTAGACACGTTTTTAGCAGAAAGGTTTGTCAAAAGCAGAGTGTAGGTAGATGCTAGAAGTTAGGCACCTTAACTGAGGGGTAGTTGAGCTTTTTTCACTGAACTTAGGCATTTGTTCTGCTATTTTTTTCTAGCAGGTACGGAATTTAAGTAGTGTAAATTCCAGTTGATTTGGTAGTAATTTGTGCTGAGTATTAAAAGATATTAAAAGAAGTATGTAAGTAGAAATGTGGGCATTGTTATAGTGACGAGTTTGATTATATGTCAAAAAACTCAATCCAAAATTTGACATGCAATAAAAAAAGCCAGGATATTTGTCTAACCTGAACTTTTGATGTTGTTGTTTTCTTCTTAGCATATAAAAAATTAAACTAAAGAAGATAGGAAAATGGAGAAAATGAAAGTTGTCCTGTTGATTAATAGTTCCTTCCCATTTTCTTTGCTTAAAAATTGCTGTGAGTTTGACTTGGAACTGAATCTTCAGATTTCATCCATGGATAAATATTTTGCCTTATAGACTATATGGCACTATATGTGCATAGTATTTGTTTTCATGATAATATCACATATTTCAAATAACTAAAATCTAGGTAGCTATTTTTTGTAACTAAAATAGTAATTTGGCATGCATGCATGCATTGTCAATTGGATGCTCAGATTTCACCTCTTTGCAATGGAAAAACTTGTTGAATCTGATCAGTTCATTATTTCCATCATAATGTAGGTGCCAGATATATTCTCATTCTGACACCATTGGCCTCTATTTATTACTTAATAAAAAATGGCCAATTGTACTATTCTAATACAAGCAACAAACTGCTTTCAAACTTTGCCAACTTATGTTATTTGATAGCATTACTGCTGCTGGACTTCTTCTTTGACTGCTTTCCACCACAGCTAGTTTCAATTGCGTTGACAATCACAGATTCTTAATGTATCTCTGCTTTACTAAAAGCTTCGCTTATCTACTGTAAACTTTGACTTTCCCTTTTGTATTTTAGAATCCTGCACTATCAGATGTCCTGCTCTTTCCATGAATCTTGTCTTACTGCCTGATCAATCATTTTCTTTTATTGAACTGATAATCTTCCCAGATTTAATATATTTTATTATTTATGTATCATTTTTAAAAAATGAGGATACTGATGTATCATCTTAAATGGATGCTAGGAGAAATATTTATATATCCATCTAGGTTGTAATTTGTGGACTATACTACCTTTGTTTCTCTCTATTAATTATTCTATTTCTATTTTCCAATAAAACGTAAGCTTGGTTCATACTCATTTTGGTATCACTGGGGGCATCTCTTCTGGTTTCAACTTGTTACAAGGTCCTATGTATGTTTGAGCAGGCTGAGGTTCTTAGTTGAATATTTTGAAAGTACATGGACATTTATTGCTTGTTGTTAGTCAAGATTTAGTTGGGTCCCTGAAGGGAACTCTGCTAGTGGGCATGTTTCACATCCACACGCATTGATACTGGTTACTTGTTTTCTGATTTCCCGAGTTGAAAGAAGAATGCCTAAATCTTGCAATGTTACTATTCACAGGCACATCAGAAGGCTCGTCTTTGAAGGAGGACAAATTGTTGATCCAGATCAGGTAGACTTTTCTGGTTTTGAATCTTTGACTTTTTGCCGTATGCCTTTAATACATAATGCTCATATATGTTTGCAGGGTCAGTTCCTTTGTCCTGTATGCCGGGGACTTGCCAATGCTGTCCTGCCGGCATTGCCTGGTGGTCTAAGAAAGGCTCCGCAGCCACCAACCATTTCAACTAATAATCTTATGGATGTAAGTAGCCCTTCAACCACATTAGATGACGGATCTCTTTGTCTCCAATATGCTTTGTCTCTACTGCGAAGGGCAGCAGATATTGCTCGAAATCACGGGAGTATAAAAGCCTTACCAGTTTGGAATTCAAGAATAAAGCCCGAAATGGAACCAATTACTCGTTTATTATGTGGAATGTACTTCCCGGGTCAGGATAAGCTTTTTGAGACTGGACGAGCCAGCCCTTCAGCAATTCTGTGGGACACGCTTAAATACTCCCTCATGTCTCTTGAAATTGCAGCTCGATCAAAAGAGAGCTCATTGAGTCCCAATTACAGTGTTGGTGCATTGTTCAAGGAGCTTAATTCCTCTAGTGGTTCTTTGTTATCCCTGCTGCTAGATGCTATTCAGAGCATGAGAACAACAGATTCGCTGACTGCTCTGCTAAGATATCAAGGCATTCAGCTTTTTGTGAGGTCTTTATGCCATGGAACTTGTCCACTCAAATTATCTAAATCCCATAGCTGGATAGAAGGTATTGCTCCTAGCACTGAAAAACATTAGTAAATGCTTTTGTTAGTGATATTAGTATTAATTCACAAATCTTATTAGTATTAATTTGAAAGATTAGTGCTAGATTAGAATGCTAGTGCCTAGAATTAGTGTGTTAATCTTGTGATTTCTGTCCCATTCGATTGATCTTTATATGCGCCCATTTAATTTTAATCTCAATACATAATTCAATTTTCTGTTTCAAATTTGAGACCTTTCAATGAATTTGTCTCTGTTTAAAGTGTATATCTACTTCACTGTTGTGCTGCCATTTTGATGCATTATACTGCACGTTGACTATGAGTTGCATAGTAAGTGCACATCCTTACTCATGCTGGCATGATGGAAGAAAGTATTCCTCCGTCCTGCATGATAGAATTTTGTAGTTAGAGAGCAGGGAGTTAAAGCATCTGATTGATTATCTAAAACATTTGGTGGTTCAAGCTGTTGAAAACTTGTTTCAAAATTTGATGTTCAGGTGATTTGCTTTCTACCTTGCAAACTGCTGAGCAGGGTTTGCGATATCCAGATATTGAGCTGTGGAATAGAGCATCTGAGCCAATTCTTGCTCATGATGCCTTTTCATCATTTATGTGGGTTCTGTTCTGTCTTCCCTGGCCAATATTATCCTGCAAGGAATCATATATATCTCTTGTGCATGTGTTTTATGTTGTTACTGTGACTCAGGTAATAAGAGTTCCCTTCATTAAACTTTCAAAGACATTTACTGGTGTAAATGACTTCTTTTTTAATATTATTTTGCAGGGTATAATCACATATCTCAAGAAAAGACAGCCCATTGATACTGAAATGGGATTTGATGATACTTTAATAACAGATATTTACAAACTAATTGGAGGATGTGGTGAAGCTACGCAGTATTTTGAATCATATTGCATTGGTTCTGCTTGTGATATACATGATGCAATTCGCAGCTTAACTTTTCCTTATCTACGGAGATGTGCTCTATTTTGGAAACTTATAAACTGCTCAAAAAAAGCGCTATTTGGTGGTGGGTCTGACTCCTGGAGTGAATCTGTGTATGCAGCTGATGATTTACAGCTTGTTACAGATACTATGGAGGAGCTTCCAGAGGTCAAAAGGCTGGAAAAGATGTTCAAGATCCCCCCATTTGACCTTGTCATTAGTAATGAAGAATCAAGGCTGACAGCTTCTAGATGGCTGGGTCATTTCCTTGATGTGTTTAAAGCCCATAAAGCCCAACATATATTGAGATGTAATCCTGCAGTCCCATTTAAGTTGATGAGTTTGCCTTATCTTTACCAAGATCTTCTGCAAAGGTTGGCTGTAATTTCTTGTTTTTCCTACTTTCGCTTCCTGTGCTAATCTGTTAATTGCATGGGCCATCTGAACACCAGGTATATTAAGAAGTCTTGCCCTGACTGTGGAAAGGTAAAGAAGGAGCCCGCATTGTGTTTGCTGTGTGGTAAATTGTGCTCTCCAAACTGGAAAACATGTTGCAGGTGGTGACTGATTTATGCTCTATTTCATTATTCACAAGAATCATCTTTTTATTTATTTATTTATTATTTATGAATTTTTTACTGTGGCTCTTCTGTTCTTAAGGGAAAGCGGTTGTCAGGCTCATGCAATGGTTTGTGGTGCTGGCATTGGCGTATTCCTATTGGTTAGAGTATGTCTTACATCTTTAACTTGTTATGCTGCCCCAGTACCCCCCACACGATTCATTGTACCCTTTCTTGAAGTACATTCTATGTGATAGTTAATCTTCTCTTTTTGGTCAGAGTACTACAATCTTGCTTCAAAGAGTCGCACGCCAGTCACCGTGGCCATCTCCATATTTGGATGCTTTTGGTGAAGAGGTAAAAAATTAATACTTCTCAAGAATGTTTTGCATTAATATTTGCTTTAATTTATATTTTCTTCAGGTTTCTAACTCAATGGTAAGAGTACTCAGTGTTAAACAAAACAGAAAATTGAAATAAATCAATTATTATGAGTGTACTGCATGTATTTATGTATACTATATATGTATTTATGTACTCCCCTCCGTCTCGGTAGAGATGATTACTTATTTTATTTTTAATAAATTTATTCATTTTAAACATGTTTAACAAATGTAAATAAATATTTAATTGACTTTTTAATAATTAAATATTTTTATCTATATTTAAAATTCTTTATTTTTTTATAAAATTAGTTTTAAGTTAATTATAAATGGATAAATACGTTTTTTATTTATTTGTATTACATGAAATTTTATTATCTACAAAATAATATTCATATTGTATATCTTTTATTGAGATATAATGCTAAAAATATTTAAATATATTTTAAATTTCTTTTAATCATATATATTAATTCATATTTTAAAAATATCATTAATACAACTCATATAAAAATAATAAAATAATATCATAATTTATTATTAATAACTTAGGGTGTGTTTGTTTGAGGGTTTGGATTTTGAGTTGGGATTTGAATAGTAAAAATTTTGAATTTGAATAGTTGTATGATGTGATATAAATAGGTGTTGATGTGATGTTTTGAATGTAAAATTGATTATTAGTATAATATAAAAAATAAAAAATAGACGTTCGATTTGATGTTTTTTGGGGGAAAAAATTGGATGAATAGTGTAAATCCAATCCAATCCCCCAAACAAACACACCCTTACTGTATTTACATTACCTAAATAATTGTGCCCAGAACAAATGGGTATGTGTTTCAGAACGGAGAGAGTATTTTACTTACCTGCATGTGATGCAGTTGGTAGCCTCTCCCTTTATTTTATCTCCTTAGACTTGAAGTATTTCAGTTTGAACTTAATCATCTAGTGCTTTGAGCTGGATTACCTTTTGTGTGATCATGAATGTTTGAATTGAATTAAGATATTCTCTTTGTAGTTTGAAAACTGTAACTGATGTGATAGGGGGATGTATTTACTTTATATGATGTGAACATAATTTATAGTATTATTTCAATATCAATAGATTATATAATCATTATACTAATTTATATTATGTTTACTTAGGATAAATTAATTCCACCCATCTAGGTTGGATTAATTATCCTTAAAGTGTATTATTATGACAGGCTTTAATCAATTGAAGTAAACAAATGATTAGGTTGGATAATATAATATATCCAACCCTAGTCACCCTAAGTAAGCACACCCTAAGAGTAATAGGGGATGCATTTGTCTTATCCAGGATGTGAATTTGAGAGTAATGAGCAGAACTGAATTGTAGTCCTTATTAACTCACACATGTTTTGGTGTCTTTATTTCATGTCACCCTTTTTAAATCTTATTTCTGTTTTGCAGGAGGACATTGAGAGGAGTAGGGGAAAGCCATTATATTTAAATGAAGAACGATATGCAACTTTAACTCATATGGTAAAAAGTCTGTGTTTGGATATTGTCTCTGATATCTCATGACTTCATAATTTGATTGCAGTGCTAGATCTCTAAGTAAAGCACTTGTTTTTGGTATATCGAGTGGGCTATTGTTATGTTATTGAGGCCAAAGTACTTTTGTGAGGGACAGTTTGTGGGAAGCTTTATTAATCAAGTGTTCGACTTGCTTTCAGGCTTGTGTGCAGTATTTGGCTGCTTATTATGTTTGATGTTCTTCTGCCATTATAAATATTGCAAATTATCCTCAAGGAGGATAGAGCCTTATTTTTCAATCCATACCTAATTGCATCAAGATATATGTGGGGTACTACTAGATGTCTCTCTTGAGGGTTACGTTGGGAGAACCACATTTTCATTTATAGCTAATTTTCTATATGCAGAAAACAAATAAAGCAGCTGTTTTACTGATCTTATTTTGACTTGTAATTTTGTCATATAGGTTGCTAGTCATGGGCTTGATAGGAGTTCAAAGGTGCTTCGACAGACAACACTTGGTTCAATCTTCACTATTTAGGATATTATGCTAATACAAAAGCCAATAGCTTCTTCCTACTGTTCAGGGTCTGGCTTTAAACTTTAATCACAGTTGCTGGACTTTCAATTTTTGTTTCTATTTTATTTCCTTTTGTCTTCAGAAGTTCATGTTGACTAGCTTCCGACTAAAATATCCGGGTTTTATATTTTTCTGATTATCAGCTCCAACTTGAAAGATGAAATGTCTACTTTCGAACAATGGGCGAAGCAGGGGGGAGTGCTGTACAGCTTCATAAAGGTGGTTACCCTCTAGTCTTGGATATTATTGTTGATCAAGTTCGTTTTATTACTATCTATCTATCCCACAATGTGCGGGAAGTATATTTGGGTGCATGGTTACTAGCCAATTGCTGATTGGTTTATGTGTAAGGGGGGCATGTGTGGTATTTGTTTGATTAGATTAGATATTACCAGAACATTATACTAGTAGTCTGATCTTGATCTAATTATGCCTGCCATGTCATCTGACGTTTCTGCAGTAGGATCTTCTCCGAGATGGTTGTCTGTCTGGCGAGAGTCCCTATCCCATCCCATCATCAGATTCAGATTCAGATTCAGAGCTCTACTATTACCATCCCATCCCTGCGAGAGCGGAGCTTCATGTATAAATTTTTATATTATATAATATTATTGTTCATGATCATTGATGGATGTGTGTTTGGAGAATGAATCAACGAACTTGGTGTGAACTTGATTGAAGAATTCTTCCTTGATAGATAGAAAGCTACTTTCTTCTGCAATTTTGGGCTGGGCCTGACGCAAATGTCACGTCCAAATTGATGAGAGAGTCTGCCCAAGGTTAGGGCAACCCAGATAGTCTTAACGGCTCACTTTTTGGGTGGACATGCTGTCAGCCCAACAATGACAAGCGCACGCATGCTGTCGGCCTAATCCGATCTGGCCCAATCAAAGTGGCTTGCTTACTGTCGGCCCAACTGCCAAAGCCCACGTGCATTCTTTCGACCTGAGAAGCCTCGCTGTCGCCACAGGTTTGACAAATCGGTCTGGCCCAATCCAAGTGGCTTGCTTGCTGTCGGCCCAATTCAAACCCATCTGCATTCTGTTTGGACCTGAGAAGCCCAATACATGTGGCTTTCTTGCTGTCGGCCCAGAGCCGACAAGACAATGTTCGGTCTGCCTAGACAATCCAAGTTGTCGACCCAGAGCCGACAAGACAATAATCTGTGGGACCTCCTGTCAGCCCAGATTTGACAAGACAATGACCTGGCAGGCCTGCTGTTGGCCCAGTGCTGACAAAATAATTTCCTGTCGGCCTAAATCGGTCTGGCCCAATCCAAGTGGCTTGCTTGCTGTCGGCCCAACTCAAACCCATCTGCATTCTGTTTGGACCTGAGAAGCCCAATACATGTGGCTTTCTTGCTGTCGGCCCAGATCCGACAAGACAATGTCTGTCTGGCCAGACAATCCAAGTTGTCGACCCATAGCCGACAAGACAATAAATCTGTTGGACCTCCTGTCGGCCCAGATTTGACAAGACTATGGCCTGTTAAGCCTGCTGTCGGCCCAGATTTGACAACAATTTCCTGTCGGTCAGACCAATGTGGCCCAATCCAAGTGGCTCACCTCATATCGGCCCAACACCAAAACCCATGGTTATACCTTAGAAGCCCAATATAAGTGGGATCATATTCTTTTGGCCGAATTTAAGCAAACCTAATTGCTTCCAGGCCCTCTCCATACAAACCCATAGATAAGCCCACGTGCTGTCAGACCTATATAAGCCAAACTTATGCCGACCCAAGAACAGTAAACGGGCCCTTGTAGTGTAAACCCATTATCAGGGCCACGTGCCATTGGCCCATACTCAACAACCCACGTTCAGTAAGCCCAGTTTGAAACTAATCAGTGTAGACCATTATAAATGGGCCAAAATGTTGGCTTTTCCAGTCCAAGCAAATTTAATCGGCCCAAACATAGATGAACATCCAAGCGGGCCTAAACTGTAACTCTACATATATATACTATGGGCTCAATGTAACAAAGAGGTTACCTAATGCCTAACTACAGTAATCTTCTCTGCGAAGATCATTTATTCCATTTTATTGGTCAACATCTTCTCCTACAAAGGGATCATCAACAAACCAATAATAAGTTCTGTAAATAAACAGCAACTGCAATGAATTTCTTTTCTTTTCCTTCTCTTTCCTTTTCTTTTTTTTTTTTTTTTTTTTTTTTGTTTTTTTTTTTTTTATAATAGCAAAACAGGGAACATTCTCTGCCCGAGTAGATGTAGAACTCTATACAATTCAGTTACACAGCTTAATTAAAAGCACAACTCTTGATAGATAAATAAAAAAAACACAACACTAATAATTTACCCTAGCATCCACTAACAATATTCTCCCTTGGCCTGATACTGATGCAAAGATGGAGGCAGGTCTCTTCTGTTCTTTCCGCTTCTCTTCAATTACATTTAGTACCCCAAGAAGATGTTGAACTGAAATACAGAACAATCCATAAGATAATGATTTAAGCAATATTTTCAAATAGCAACAGAGTTGGCGGTGTGGATAAGAACAATAAAGTGAAGAACTTGTGGCAACAAAGAGTTTAGGCAGTATGCAAAGTAATACTAGTAAATATGAGTACTTAGAATCCTATTAGCCATGAACTATGAGCTAAATAATCTAGAAATGACATTGCAATCCATGAGTTATGATGATGAATGTTCAGAAAGATGTTTGTTGGGACAAGATTTGAATAAGCTTGTACATGTTTTGTGAAAAATGAGGCATGAAATTCAGTATTTTTCCAAATAAACTAACGCACACCATTAATGGGTGTTCAAATCGAGAATGAAGGAGGAGTCCCAAATATAAGTCACGTGGTCAAAACCCAAAAGCACACTACCATTAAGAAAGAAAAGAAACTAACACGTTGGAAGAATTATTGCCTACAACTGAACATTATAAACATAGAAATAGGCTGTGAGACATTACCGCCACCTTCGACGTGTGTAGAACTTTGTCACAGGAAGAGTTCTTTTGATCTTAGAGTCTTCAGAGATTTTGTTGTTGTCACAACATCCTTGCTCCATGGTAGTAGTAAAATCAAGCATCTTTTCAAGAGATTTATGGACTGAACTCCTCTTGAATGTTAATCGATAAGGAGGAGATGAATCATATGACTTAGAGCTGCTTGATTCATCTCTGCAATCTGAAGTAAGATCTGCACATAATCTCTTGTTATTTAATTCAGTACTCTCAGAACTAGTCTTGTGACTTTTCTCATCGTTGGATTCAACTGTTTCCTTAAACTTCACTTCCAACTTCCTTTTCCTTAGTATGGATGGAGTATTAGGAAAACTTTTTGCGGCTACCCTCAGTATAGATTCAGGCGATTGTTCGGAAAAGCTACTGCCTCTTACACTTGGTGGAGTAAACAAAGGTACTCTGGGAGGACTAGTGTCTGACAGAAATTGCATTGAGGAAATCTTTTCGAGGGTCAAATGTGGTTGTCCATAACTGTGGGGCTTATAAGATGGCGACCTTCCTAATGTATCATCCTGCATTGAGGAAATCTTTTCAAGGGTCAAATGTGGTTGTCCATAACTATGGGGTGTATAGGATAGCGTCCTTCCTAACATATCATCCTGCACTGATGCCCCAATAAGATGATATTGATCACCCTCACAACTTATTTTCAGTCTCTCAAACTCAGATTCCACGCTTTGATTAACAGTATCTAATTCTGAAATCGTCACCTCATTGCTGCTCCCTATATCGGTGGAATCAGTCTGCTGAAGGGTGGCAGTATTATGATCATCGGACTTATCCTCTGAACTATCCTTCCTATCTCCAACTTCACACAAATCAGCAGCTTCGCATGAACCCAAGCTGGTTAACTTTGATCCTTTCTTTTGATCATCATGTAGTGCTTCTACTGAGGAGGTATTCACAGTTAAGGAGACAAGTCTAGGAACAGAAGGAAGGTTCCCTGTAGCCTGATAAAACTCTAACTTTTTCTTCAGAGAACTATTCCAGTGATTCTTGATTGCATTATCAGTCCTGCATAGATTAAAGACAATTACAGTTTCTGTGGAATATATACTCTTTAGGCAATCAAAGCAACCAGGACCATGCATCCTTATCATTTAGAGCTTAACATGATAAAGTCCCTAATTTCAGGTTTTATTGTCAATGATATCTACTAGTAGGATGACCACATATTTCTCCTTCAGAATCTAGTTATAACCTAGAAACCTTATATCTATAAAATAATGTCATATTCATAGAGTTTGTCCCATCATGTGTTGTACCCTCCACAATATTACTTTTTCTTCTTAGCTTAGCTTTGTTATTTTGCTCTACAGAAGCAACAACCATATTTGTATATATCCACACACAAGTATAATACAAAATATATATGTCACACTTTTCCTATGAGTTTAAAATGTGGCAAAAAGGTTCAAAAATATCGAAGAGGACTGGGACATAAACAGAAGAAAGGTACCTTCCAGGTAGGAGCCTAGCTAACTCGGCCCATTTATTTCCATGAACCCGATGTGCATCAAGAAGAGTAAGCTCCTCCTCCAAAGTCCAAGCATCCCTCTTAATATTAGGATTCAAATGATTGTGCCATCTGAAAGTTAAAATAATAATAATAATACATTCAAAATTAGTGCTCAATACATTTTCAATATGAAAAGAATATTTTTCTATACAATAAAGTACACACTATGGGTGGTGTGTTTGTTTGAAGGTTTGAATTTTGGGTTTGGGATTTAAATAGTAAAAAATTTGAATTGAAATAATTATATGATGTGATATAAAATATAAATATGTATTGATGTGACGTTTTGAATATAAAATTGATTTTTAGTGTAATATAAAAAATAAAAAATAGGTATTTGACTTGATGTTTTTAGTGGAAAAATTTTGATGAATAGTAAAATTTGAATGAAGTCTAATAAAAGAACACTATATCCATAGAATCTCTCTAATAATACATGTTAAATATGAAATATATAAATATAATAATATAATACTAATAAAAAATTTGCACAATAATGTTGAATAAATAGCCTTAAATATTCTTAAATGTATAAAATGAAGAAAGTTAATGCATAGTGATACTGAAGCTAATGAGGCTTTCAAACCTACCTATAATATTCTCAATTTCTCACATCAAGTCTCCCTTAGTTTTATTAACAAATATATATATATTTATAAGGTGAGAGCAAGAGTGGTCGATAAGGACACTTTTAATTATCTACTGTTCCAAAATTTGAAAGAATTTGTGTCGTTGGTTTCTCTAACAACAAAAGTGACCACATGACCAATTATAGAGGTCAATTTTATTAGCTAACTACTAGTCAATCTCAAACATCAGAGAGAGAATCAATTTGTCACCAAATAAACACAACGCACTGCTTGGTCAGTTAGCATGTGATGTTACCTTTCACGGCATTGCTTCCCTATTCTGCCTGGCAATGATTTTGCTATAGTAGACCATTTTTTAGGTCCATATTTATCCACTAGTTTTTTTATTTTCTCATCCTCCTGTAAGAACATAAATTGTGTAACCAAACATATATTTGCTATGCTAGAATATTAGAATGATCGATACACGTTTTTGGAGGAAATAGCAACCAACCTCGGGAGTCCAAGGACCTTTAACAAGATCTGGATTCAGAACCTTTTGCCATCTATGTAAACATTGAACTTCTGTTCTCTCCGGACAGAACTCAGCTGCATCAATGCCAATGTTTGAGAAGATAAGTCAAACTAAGCACAACAATGGTTATAATTGGATTATTAAGTCATATTTCAACTTAAAGAACAGTATTCCAGTCAAAGATCTTATAAGCAACCGCATTCTATCTGGTCTAGTAAATCAGACAGAAGAAAACTAAATATCATATAAATGAGATGATACTTTGACTGAAATATACCTATTTTCTTCCAACACTTCCCCCTGTAAGCTACAACAGCCCTTTTCAATGTAGCATCCTGAAGCAAAGCCCATTTACACTTGTTAATTACATACATATTGCATATTTGGCAGCAGAATATATAAAGAAATGTCAAAAAAATTGTAACACTAAACTACTCAAATTCTTTTATGGGCAACAATTAGACACTACTCTTCTAGATCATATATGAGGTCAAAAACCACAAAACATATCTAGATTGAGCGCCATATAAACGAACATCCATTTTTTTACCTCTTCTGGGGTCCAACCTCCTTTTGCTCTTCTAATTGGGCCAGAAGTTCTCCTGTAAAACCATAAAAGTAGCAAAATATTTTAGATCATTAACTTATATTCTTAGGACTTTCTGAAAATAGATAAATTAAACAAAAGACGTCCTTCCCAATTGGCTTCCGGTAATATAAAAGCCAGAGGTATGCTTCATACAAAACTAGAGGCAAGCCATACAAGAAACCAGGTTGTTTCAACACTAAGCACATAGTGAAGTTTCGAAGTACATATACTATTATTTATTTGTCCAATACAATTTCATCCTCTGTCCAATTGATGAGTATGGGTCCCTGTGAAACAACAAAAGAACCATAAACAGACACACGATACCAAGTTTTTACCACTACATATCAGCTACACATAGATAGCAGTTTGAAACTCTGTAACTTCAATACCAGTTCTCTCCAAACTATAACTATGATAGGGCAGGATTAGCAAGAATAAAGTGCATAAACTTTTTAATTCATGCTAATTTGAGCACCCTTCTTATCGTGGTTTGAAGCTTTTCTGAACATACATGATGTAGCATGGAATACATATCAATCATGATAAACAAAAACATACAATGATACAAGGTAAGCATCTAAAACCAAATAATAAATATAACAGAAACCTAAATATAAAAATTGAATCCTGACAGGAAGAGCAAAATAAACGCCCACCAAACTTGTTGTGAACATTTATAGTAGAACATGTAATGAAAGCAATACCTAGGCGCTGGACGGATACTAGAAGGGGTACTTGTCCCAGTTGATTTTAGTGCGACGGTCTGACTACGATCCAGACTAGAAGAGCTCGCACCAACATTATCCTCGTTCTTCAGGTGACGGGCATTAGATTTCACCCCATCCATCAATCCCTAAACTGAAAACCCATTCCAATAAATCAAAATAATCCACACACCACGTAAAGATCAATTTCTAGTGGCCTAACATCTGCTAATACAGAACCACTACTCCAGATCTCATAAACAATCGATAATTAATCAAAACACCGCGAAATCACCGCGCCCTAACTTCTACGACTTCAATAGCACGAAATAACAGGAATTTTTCTCAGATAGATTCCCAATTAATTTAAGGCTAGAGAGGAAAGACAAAATTAGGGCTTAAACAATCAAATAGCGAGTTGAAGAAACGAAAATTTTACAATAATCGATTATTCAAGGATCTTCTGAAACAAGATTTACCTGCACACCTTACAAATTGAGATAACGAGCTCATCAATCACGAGCGCCAAAACTGTAAAAACCCCCCAATTCGGGGGAGAAAAAATTCCGAGCTGCGAGGACCTTTGCCCGTTGAAGGAAGGGAGGAAAGACTAAAATGAACGCTTGTTTTATTTTATTTTATGTATTCATATATTTTTTTGTATGTAACGTATAGTAATGGTAGGGTTAAGTGACAGCGCCGTTAATTTAAGGGTTCTTAAACACAGAGATCACAATTAACGGCGAATGACGGAACACGTGAACGTTAGGTCTCCGAACGCCCTAGCGATTTGGTTTTGTTAATCTCTTTATTTACAATGTAATATATATAATTAAAATAAATTTAAAATATAATATTTTGAAAAATATTAAAAAATAAATTCTATATTTAATATTATTTTATATCTTAATAAATTCTATATTTAAGATCAAATAAATAAATAAAATTGAGAGCCACAAGTCGGCTGATCTTTCGCGGCGCACGGGCCGTACAAGTGAATGGACGGTCCAGATCGATGGAGTGAAACGTCAAAGACCGTCGATGTGCGCCGTAGATGGGGTCAGCCGTCTACAAGAAGTGCTTGACCGTTGAGATTAAGATTAAATGAGAATAATTTGTAAAAAAATAAGGTAGAGTATTCTAACTTCACGTCACAACTTTGTGAATCTTTTAAAATTCATAAGACAAGTTTGATTGATAAAATAAATTGATTTTGGTTAAGATTGATTTTTGATGAATTGACTTCAATTGCAAAATAACATATATAGAATGTCGAGTGGTGTAGTTGTTAAGTATTATTGAGATTATATTATTATTAATTAAAGATGTATATATGGAATGAAATGAACTCGTAAATTGTAAAATTATATATATTCAATCTTGATGTTTCCCAATCTTATCTACCAAATATATGTACTAAACCTTGTGTGAATAGTCCCACATGGGTGGTTCAAATTTTTGAAAAAACATCTTAGATTGCTCAATCTCGGTCTTATTATAAATCAATTAGGTGTGTTTGTTTGTTTGTTTATTTTGTAAATGTAATGAATATAACAATATAAATGTATATAATTTAATTGATAAAATTAATAATAGTATAATTTGATTATTAATTTATATTATATTAAAATAAAATTTTATTGATTTGTATTATTGTTGTTCAATGACCCAGATCAGATTTTCAATTTGCTGAGCCCAGCTTTTAGTCCTTTAATCAAATAGGAAGGAGGATAGACTTATTTTTGGTTAAATAGTAGTATTAGGCTTGCTTGATTATTTAACATGTTTTCATTTTATTGAAAATGTTACCGTACACATATTTTGAAATAATTTATTGATATTCATTTAATTTACCAAAATCGTCTTTAACTTGAATAAAATTAATTGGTAAAAGATTATAACTATCCATCAAAACAAAACTTGCCAAGTAGACCTTGACATTATTTAATATGTTTCCATTCTATTGAAAATGTTACCATACACTAATTTTGAAATAATTTATTGAACTTATCAAAATCGTCTCTAACTTAAATAAAAATAATTAAATAAGTATGTTCACTTGACTGATGTGTCTTTTATATTCGATATAGAAAATTACATTATTTTGTTGTTTTAATAATAAAATTAATTTTTAATATAATATAAAATTTTGAAAACAAATATTTAATTTAATATTTCATAAGGGAAAAAGAAAAATTGATGAAGAGTAAAAATTGGAAAAAATCCTCCAAAGAACACGGATTTCGTCTGGATTTATTTTTTAATTTTGATGAATAATAAAATGTTGTAAAAATCTCATAGAGCAATATTTCTCGTATCCATCATAAGATTCAAATCGCTGTTTAAATAAAAAAACAAAAAACCGAAACAATCCAAATCCATCCTAAATCACTTAATAATTTATTTAAAAATGATGCAATTATGGTTCATGATAATTTATAATAAAAAACATTATAATGTCACCAGAAAGAGTGCAGCAGAACATAACACAGAAAGAAAGAAAGGAGTTTCCATTAATATAAAGCCCAACTCATCTCTCTTTCTGCTACAATCAACACAACAACTCCAGAAGAAGAGGCAGAGATGGATACCATATAACGCTACTAATCCATTACAAAACACACTCCAAAAGCAGCAGCCACCATTCCATCCATGGCTGCCTGCTCTTATTGCAACTGGGTCAAAATTAGTTTTTGACAATCCACCATTTGAAGATGGAGCCGTCTCATAATTTTGCACCCAACACACACGGTTATAATAATAAAACTAACTTCTTATGGATCGATCTCTGCTTTGGAGCCCCGTTAGTCCAATTCATTTGCAATTGCAGGGATTGCAGTTGCAGTTGTCGCCGCACTTGCACCCGTTCTCTGCAGCGCTCTCAGAATGCTCGCCTCCATCAATGTGTCTGTACATATATATTGAGTTGAATGGGATGGATGGAAAATTTGGGCAAAATAATTGTTAAGAAGAAGGAAATTGAAAAACAGATGATGCATACGTCTTCTGAGGGGCGACGCCGAGGACGACGGTTCCGGCGGGGGCGGCGGCCTCCGAGTAGCTCAAATCAGGGTACATCTTGCACCTGGAGACAATCATTTCACGAATTTAGAAACAGATCATCAATTGTCGCAATTAACTTTCGCAATCCAGATCATATTCCGACAGAATTGACGATCAGTGCCAATTACGCAGGAAAATCACGAAAATAGCCACAAAACTTGAAGGTAATTCGGTAGAGAATTAGCGATATCATCTCGATTAGGTTACAATTAAAAAAATTAAAGAATTAACATCGGAGTGAACGCGACTGCAATCGATCAGCAAATCGAGAAGAAATAATGGAAGATTTACCCTCCGCAGCCGTTGCCGCACTTGCAGCCGGCGCCACAGCCACAGTTTCCACCACAGCAAGACATTTTCCGAGAAGAGAGTTCTGGATGAAACGGCGATGTGATATCTCGAAATTGACGGCTCTGATTCCCGAAACTGCAGCGATGGCCTGAATTTATAGCGGTTGCAGGAGTGGAGACTGGCAGAGATCCCACCGTACACGTGTCAAGATCTCAAGGGGCAGTTGGTCCTCGTCACTCGGCTCACGCCTGTAACGCCATGTCTTTAGCCACGTATGTGCCGTTGCAAGTCTATTCTTTAGACTTTTTATATAAATAAATATAAAAACAATTCGATGTAAATAAATTAGACTGGAATTAAAAATAAAAATTTCATTCAAGATATTTTTGTACATGAAAATAATATTTAATAGTAGAATATTTGAGCAATTTTAAATAAATTATTAATTTGTAATATATCATAATGCATAGATTTTGTGTAAATTCTGGTCCATTGAAAATGGGAATGGGCCATAGAAGAAAAAAGTGTTGGGTATATTTTCATATATTAATCGTAAGTGGACTTTTAATTGACTGGTCACACTTTATGTATGCCACCACAAATAGACAATACTCCATACTTTTTCTTTTCTTTCCATTTTTCATTTATTTATTTTCCCATCCTTTTCCTATTTTTTATGCCTATATGGTAATTTTTTAATATATATATATATATATATATATATAAAGAAGAAAAAGAAAAAATGAAACCAAGGCATAGGTTTTTTGTCTGGAAGATTAATGGGAAATATAGTATAATATAATGGTCCGATTTTTTTGGAAGAGTTTTTAAGTCACTAATATATCCTATTTTTGATATAATATAATATGTCATTTTATAATATTGTCTTTAAAATAACGCTAGTTAAGTAGGAAACAAGAATGTGATTAATTTATTTATAATTGAGCGACAATAGACAATTTTCCTGTATGTTTGAATTTATCCTCACAAACTATTTTTGGTTGACTTGTAATAATACAAGATTGAATGTGTTGAGAAGTTCCAAGTAACAATACATACAAAATTTTATTGTAACTTGAACTTTTTTTTTTTCTCCCTAATTTGCTTCATTCAACATAATGTCAATTTTCATAGTGGCTAAATTCAATAAATGGGTGCAAGACTTTGTAAAAAGAGATGCAGTTTGCATCAGCAAAATCATGATTCAGATTTCATACTTTGGCTTATCATATTTTCAATATGAATAAAATAGTTCGGATATTATATTTGTTTATTTGTGCGTGTGTGTTTATTTTCTTTTGTACTTTATTTTTTATGTTTAAATTTAAGTTTTAATAAAAAAAAAATTAAATATTTGGTATAAAAATCACACTATAAAAAATAAATAAACAAGCACAAAAACAAACCCTAAATTAAGAATATATATAATCAATGAATCAGGTCACAACTATATATATATATATATATATACTTTTATTAAAAACGGATAAATAGTATTAATTTGAGCTTGCTCTGCCTATTTGATTTTATTTTTTAAAATATAAGAATCTATTTATTTATATTTTCGATTTTGTTTATAAATTATTTGCAAGAGTCATTTTTAAAAATACATAGGTTAAATACTTATCTTTTATTTAAAATATATTTTAAAAATCCATTATTTATTCAAGACAACATTTAATACCTATTTATTACTAGTTAATATTGGCAATTTTAATTTTTTTTGAAATAATAATAATAATAAAGAAAGTAAAATAATAGCAGCACGGTAGAGGTGGGGTTTGAAGGAATGAACATCCTCCATCATGGAAGGCCAAGAAAGAATGAAGAATAAATCTCTTTTAATGTGGCAAACAGACAGCAGCTTTATGTACAAAAAAAATTGTTCTTCCTCCACTTCACCTTCCTTTACATGTGATATGATATGAACAACAATAATTGAGTTATCTATATAATATATTTTATTTTATTTTTTATAAAGTATAAAGATGAAAAGAAGAGTAAGAAAGCTCTATCAATAGATCATTGAGAAAATAAAGTCAGAGAAAGAATCGACACATGACACAAAATTATATTCAAACAATGCATAATTGCGTACATGAAAATATCTCTAAAACACTAGTTGACTATATTATTCTCACACAATAATAAATAAATAGCCAATGATATATCTCCGGTTAAAGAATGAGGGTATCTTTTTAATTATTATTATTATTTTTTTTTTTTGTAAAATCATTGATGATTTCAATTCATACATATATCATCACTTCCTATATGCTACCAATTTCTAAACTACATAACACATTTTCAGACAACTAATTCCATATCAAGAACAGAACATAACAAAAAAATAAAAATTACCTGAAGCTTAGGTAGAAACAATCTCTTCAAGAAGATCATCAAGGATGAGATCTTCAAACTCAAGTCCCACACACTCAGTATCAAATTGGAGATTCATCCATCCATCCCATTTCGCCATATCACGGCCGACAAGATCTTCGACAGATTCATAAACGTGGAGTCTTGAGCACAATAACCAGTTTATTTCCGACCAAACCTCCTCCAGAACACGTTGGCCTTTAGGGGTTTGACGGACGAGAGACAGGCTAGTAAGGGGCATTGGCCAGTAGCAACATGACCGTTCGTAGATACTTAATAAGACTTCGTTAATCAGGTCGAATAAAAGCATATGATCGCGGATTTCACCTTCTTCATTCCCAGACCAATCAACTAAACACCCTGCCACTTCATCAAACACCGTTGGATCGACAGGGTACTCTTCCGAGTACCATTTCCCTAAAATCTCGTCCCTGCTGAACCCCGACAGTTCTAGAACCTCTTTCACGTAGTTAAATTCAGCTTCGTTCTTTGCATCCACCTGAATACGTAATTGATCTCCGTAGTATTGCTTTACTTTACTTTCCATGGCATCAATGTCGACTGTATCATCCTCCTCCTCCTCCTGAATGGCTAAAGAATCCTCTTTCAAATCTGCCATCAAGAAGATATATAACTTTCCACCCAAATGCAAATGGAGGTGATATATAAATTATGAAGCATACCTTTCGAAGCTAATACTGTAGGGTCCCGACAACTTTCTCCTTCCTGATAGTTAAGATCATTTCGAGAAACTGGATGGTGTTCAACATTGGAGGCCTTGGGCAATGGACTCTCCCAAGCCATGGAATTAACCAAATCATAAGATGTCTTACCAAAATCCGGCACTTCCTGTTGGATTTCACTTTCCGAAAAAGAAGATGGTTCAAGTTTGTCTTCTAAACCAACACATAATGAGTTATGTTCAGTTGCATCAAAACTACCATCAAATGTGTTTCTGGATGCATTTGTGTCGGGAGCACTCTCTGGATTTCGCATTGAAAAGGAAGGCCTGAGAGTCGGGAGCGAAAGATTCCTTTGCAAAGTGGCGGGAAGCCTCTTTGGAAGGGATGAGAATCCGTTATCTTCCCTGGAAGTGAGCAAATTCTTCCTAGATTTACCTTCTTGTGAATCTCTATCGGAGCTAGTGTCAAGTAGCCGATTATATTTATCGACTGATTCATTAAACGACGATGATCTTCTGAAGCTTCGCAGCGAGGGTTTTCCAAATTCAGAACCTGGTTGGCGAATGCCAGCTGCATATTTGCTAAGCTTTTCTGCCGTTTCTTCCGGAGCAATGTGCTGACCATAAGGAACTTTGTGCTGTACTGCATCCCAAACAATATGATCCTTCTTTGGAGTTTTACCCCGAACCACAACCTTCAGTTTAGCCCTAAGCTTCTTGAAATGGTTGAGGGAAACTTTACTATTGTGCATTTTCCTTAACATGTTGGATGAAGGTGAAGAACAATTATTCAATGGTTTGAGCTCCTGTGGGGGTACACCATTTTCGACATCCGAACCTCTAGACAATGTCGACTGCTTGTCATCTTCCTCCGACTGCTGCAATTTGTCCTCCTCCTCTTTTGTAGAGGAACCATTTTCTTGACTGTCGATGGAATTCTCTTGCTCATGATTTTGCCTGGCTGACGAACCGGGCATTGGAAATGTCGAGGATTTAGTTAAACTAGACTGGAGATTGGATTTCCGGACAGTCTGCATCTGCTGAGCTAACGATGAACTTTGATCTTGTACAATTCTCAGGAACATTTCTTTTCTCACGTTGAGTAAGTCCAGAGCATCCATAAACAGCTTCGATTCTTGAAGCGAAGCATCTTTGCTCGGCTCTATTGCAAATATCGACTCATCCTTAAGAAGAGTATGATCTCTAACTGGTTGTCGAACTATCTTTTGAATCTCACTTTGCTTCAAGTAATTCCTGCCGATTTTAGGAAGGACAGGATCCAATAAAGCAACAGGATTCACCCTATTATTACTCTTCAATACCTCATCAGTACTACTGTCCTCAGCAGCTGATTCTGCATCATAGGATTTTCGATTACCAGCAGGAATGGGTTCATCCTGATCTGTGTTTTCGGGGCAAGATGTAGTTCTTCGATGGCGGCTCTTCTTTCTATACATCTCTTCAGTAATCAAAGATTTTAGTCGAGATTTCATCGAGCTTTTAGTTAATCGACTAAGCTCCATGCCTTTAGTCACAACCTGATAGCGAGGGGAAGTTTTCTTCACAATTTCACCGCTAATCTACAAGAGATTTTCAGCATGTATAATAAAACTTCAACTGAACATGAAATACGTATGAAAACTATGAAAGTACAAAACAATTGCATAGCAAGATATGATGCACATTAATAAATCTTAATGAAGAACAGAAAACATACTACAATGTTATCAACGTCGGAATCACTGTTTCTTTGCGTTTGAGCAGCTTCCGAAGTAGTTTTGTTGTTCTCTTTATCTGCAATCAGTACAAAAGTCGAACAAATTCTAAACCTAATTAATATCCATCCATCCACATTAAACATTAAAGGAATTCTGGCGCACATATCAAATGAAAATAGATATCAATACGTTTCTCTACTGAAAGTGTTAAACTAAAACCATCCACAGTGGAGGTTCTTTTCCATGGAAAATTTCCGAATTTCAAGTCACATAAAAGTTAACAATAAAAAAGAAAATAAAATTAAAAAAGAAATAGAAGAATGATTCTTCTGGTGTGAAAATTAAAATTTTTTTGATGAAATTTGAACTATAAAAATTTTGAATTAAAACAGTTGTATAACATGATATAAATAGATGATTGATATGATATTTTCAATATTAATTATTTCTTAGGTCATATTTTTTTAGTGGTTATAATTTTATACACTTATAATTTACTGTTTTTAATTTAATAATTAATTTATCAGTATTTTTTTATGAGAGTAAAATAATTAATACTCCCTTCATCCCGGTGCAAATTGTCGTTTACTTTTTGAACGTACAATTACTAAATTAGAAAACGGTAACATTGGACAGATGAAAATGAAAAATAACAACCTTTCAATGGATAAAAATGGGAGTATATAATTTTATTTTAAATTCTACTACTATATACTACTATAAATTAATTGTTTTTTATAAAATAATATTTATAACATAAAAAATTATTAATTATTTTTATATATTATTTGCTTCATATTAAATAAATTTTTTTAAGAGAATTAGTATGTAATATTTGTATTATATTAAATAATAAATTTATAGATTATAGAAAAATATATTTTAAAATTTTTGATGAATAAATAAAAATAAATAAATGAATTTTTATACTGGAATAACACGAAATGATGCAGCAGAAATACGAACCTGCATTGCTAAATTGCTAATAGTCTAAAGCAGAATAAATTGATTATGAAAGCAATTTGCAAAGCCGTAGAGCAGAATGTAGATCGAACCGTACCGTGCTTCTTGTGAGGGAGTTTCTTCTTCACTTTATGCCATGGATTGTGGTGAAAATGGCGTAATATTCCTTTCATCTTTCCAGAGTTGTGCAAGTCCGGAGATGACTGAGATCCTTGAAGATACAAGCTCTTCCCCATTTCTTCCGTAAATAACCTAACCTAACCTTATCAATGAATCTCGCCAAGCACCCAAACCGAAGACATTCCCCCAAATCCTCGCCGTAAACATCAATCACATCTTCCACAAATTAGATAACCTTATCAATGAATGAATACAATCACCGAAACCAGAAACATTCCCCCAATCTCCGTCGTTAACACCACATCACATCAAATCACGCCTTGGCTTCCAGAAATTTTAAAAAATTATAACGAATCATTTACGAACTCTGACCTTAATTCGCTTCAAATCAACGAGAAAATCGTGAGCTGAGTGCTCGATTGCTGCGAAAATTACCGCAAATTCTGAATTTCTTCTGCCCATGGATGCGACGAAACAGGATCAAAATCACAGATGGCGGACGGAGAAGAGAACCACCTTTATTTTTCGCTTCAATTTGTTTTCTGTATTTTTTTCTTAATATATATTTTTAGTAAATTTCAGTTACCGCATTTGTTGGTCCTTAGTTGCATTCCACTTAGCTACCAATAAATAATTGCTTTTGTTTGGTTTAATCATTAGGCCAAAATGTATATATTTACATCTGTTCATACTAAAATACGTTTACTAATATTAGTACAGAATTTTTTTATTATATATACATATACTAGGACTTCTACAACGAAAGAAAGTAGTAGTTTCTTAAATTTTATCTTCTTTAAACAAAAATATAATAAGAATAATAATATTCTTATTTATTATGTACTAACTAATCTTATTGTCATTATAATATAATTAATTAATTACTTTCTTGAAAAATAAATTAGATATGTATTATTTATAAATTCAACATGGTGAATACCCAATTGATCTCCTTAGTGTTGTTTTACTCGAGTTTCCATAATCCCACTGACATTAGTATTATTAACATTTGAACAGTCAAGTTTAACAAAAAGAATTAACATCACAAAAAAATTTATTTACTTAAAGCCAAATTAAGCATTATCACTTGCACTGTTAACTAAATTGTACCTCTAATATCCACATCATCAACATTAAATTTTTGATTGATTTGGTAGTGTAGATGCACCCAATAGATCCTAGCAAAGTTCAACTCTTGATGTACAATTTGCAACTTTGTGTCACCTTGCTAAAGGAATTCATACAATCGAGCAAGTAGCATGTATCAACACTTTTTCTCCTCCATAACTTTGGCATTTTTCAGATTGGCCATCAGCGCTGCTCTCCTTTGCTGTTGGATTTGATTGACATACTCGGCAATAAGGACATGGAGCTTGGGAGTGAGTTTAACTGTTGAGGAAATATTGAGACCGCCCTTCTTCAATGCTCGTACCATATGCTTTTCGGCTTTCTGGAAGTGAATATTACAATAAGAAGGGACCGTTGATTTCAGTATCACCTTTCTGCAATATATAGGTGAGGTAGCAGCACTGCAGTGGAAACATAGAAGGAGACATTTAAGTTTCGGAAAGTAAACTTTAATCATAACATTAGGGAACGTACCTATACAATACAAATAACATCCATCTATGCAAAGAGCAAGCTCGGCCAATATCATCCGACTAAATTACGCCTTTTCATAGAACTTTAAAATGATTATGATCCGTACAATTAATCATTTTGAAATGATTATATGATGTCGAATTTGCATAACTTGGACATACAGTCATCTAAAAGAAATAATTTCATACAAATACAATAATAAAAAACTAAGTAAAGTCTTGCTAATATTTAAGTTCAAATGCCAAATAACAACTAAATAACAGCAATATCACATTAAATTTATCTCAAGCAAGATCCTTCGCAGGCATTGCCACGAGGAAGCAGAATTACAAAACCCAATTGTCTACACAGAAGCAGTTTCCGGAAGAAAACTAAAGAAACCTCTTCATGTATAAGGTGTTTGAGCTCATCTTCAAGGATGATAAGCAATGGAGAAGGATAACGTACTTAAATTACTAGCTAAGCTGTCGATATAAGCAAAAAGACCAAATGTTACTAGTAATTACAGCAATACAGACAAATATTTCTGGTGTTATAGACAGTGTAGCTCAGGATATATACCTTGTACACAAGAAAGGTCCTGCCGCTTAAAATATTATACCAAAAATACCTAAAGAGAAAATGGACGACTGCACTATAAAATACATAGATACTTTAAAGAAAAAACAAAAGCATCACATTTAAGAAGCAATATATTCAGTAATTGAGGAAAAGTGATAATTGGATCTATTAATCACATAGATCAATATCAGGTAAGGATTCTATTAATTTTGATCTTTTACAAGCCAATCACTAATGATGTCTAATCAAGCAAGACAGTTCAACAAACTGATGCTATCACTCTGTTGCTACTTGCAACACCATAGTCTAATCTTTACTCAATGTAACCAATTAATCTAAAATATCACAAAAAAGTTAGAATCTGACAGAGTGACTTAAGGATAGCAACGCCACAACAAGTTATACGGTGATCTTTTATTGATAAGAAACAGTGTCTCCTACTAAATGAACCAAAAATAGTCATAAGAGAGAAAAGAATCCACACCTGAGTATTAAAGCACGGACTCAAAATTGATACAGAATAAAATTATAAATGGGTTAGTTTAAGTACGCATACAACTATGTTAAAATACAACAAATGATTAGTCTTTTGCAACACAAGCTATAATAGAATCTTAAGTTCAATGAAACGAAACTCAAAACTGATGGAGCTATTTTAGTTAGTCAAAGTTTAATACAAGTGGAAACTTCTGCTCTAGTTTAGTACCAAACAAAGCTACAAACAATCTACCTATATCGCCAAGATGAGCACAAAATCCAATTTCAACTAAGTGACAAAAAAAAAAACCAGCCTATCCTTTCAACACCATTTATGGGCAGTAGTCAAAGCGCAACTTCCTAAAGAAGCTAAAAGTGTGATCACTTAACAAAAACCATTCAATATTACACAAAGATGAACCTACTATCCCCAAAGAATTTTAAATATGATGCAGCAAAAACTACAGAGTCTACAGCACAGTATCAAATCTCTTAGAACACAAGCCACTTTTATGAAAGGCAAATAGTTCTTGTCAAACATTAACATAATTAGAGTTCTTCAATAGTAGCATGCAAAGCTACAGAAACATATATACATAATCCAAATTCCAACTTAACATAATCCACTAGCAATATATCCCATGTTTCCTACAAGGGAAGTCGATAATTACCACCTAAACACACAATTTGATGCCAATCAGTTACAGCCAGGAACACAGACTGAGTAAAATGATTAACTACATGCTAGCTATATGTAGAGGAACAGCAACATAAACTAGTTCAGAAATGTCCACACAATAGAGTGAAGCAAAGCAATTAACATAGTGATTAATATCAATACTATACAAACAAATAATATTTTTGATCAGGAAAAATTGCATAAAACATACTCTTTTATGACGAAAGTGCAAGTTTTGTAGAGCTTCTGTTCGGTATCGGACATGATATGCATGTGACAGAACCGTGTCAATGCCATGGCCTTGGCCTTGCACCCAAGAGCCTCGCACTGACCAGCAGGATTACTACACGCACCATTAACACCAGAATTCCCATTATTAACATTCTCCGCAGCGGCAGCAACGGAATCACCACGGCCACGAGTCGAATTTCTCCTTTCATTCTCCTCATCCTTGACAAATGGACTTTCTCCATACTTCCAATAATATTCTCGGTGTTTCAATTTGAGCTCCTCCATCAATGCCCAATAATGGTCGCGGTAAATCCGAGCGAGCTGTTTGAGCCTGCGGGAACGGCGATTAAGAACTTCCGGCTGCGTCAGGAACTCCGATTTGGATAGGGCAATATCCTGTTCGACTCCGTCGATGCGAATTGGACCAGCAGAAGAGGATCGCGACGGGTCCACGATATCCGCGTGGTGCGAACAAGCAGGCTTGCTTTCTTGCTTTAGAGAGATCGGCGGGCCGACGGGGTGATGGCTCTGACCACTGACGGCGGCGGCCGCCGTGGAGAGTGCAGTATGCATGAACTTGGTCATGAGGACGGATTCGAGTGTGCGTTCATCGGAATTCGATAGCAAGCGAACAGTAAAGATGGCTTATGGTTTATTTATTAGGGTTTTTATACACGGAATGGTACAACCACGAATGCGTAGAGTATAATTGCGGGTTTTACGAGAATAAGGGTGTATTTTTTCATAAATGTAGAAAATATTTATTTAAATAAAATCAAATTTTTGAGTGTTCTACGAGAATACGGGTGATTTTTTTTTTCATAAATTTTGATGTAATATTTTAAATATTAAAAAATATAATTATTTATTTAGATAATTTTTTGAAAAATAGAATATGAATAATAAAAATATTTGTTAAAATTCACACAAGAACACAAATGTATATGTATATCCCAATTAAATATTAAATTTTATTATTTATCAAATTTTTTTTTCGAGTAAATACCTATTTTTTATTTTTATATTATACTTGAAAATTAATTTTACATTCAAAATATAACATCAATATATATTTATATCACATTATAATTATTCGAATTTAAAATTTTTACTATTATAAAATCAATATATATTTTCTTTGTGGTGTTGCCATAAAAAATAATGATTCGAGATATTATGTTTAAATTATAACACTATTTTCTTTTAGTTATTATTGTGATTAATTAGTACCGACCTATTAATACTCCAAAAATTGGTTCGAAAATTTTTGTACCGTATCCGAGCCGACACGCCAAATAACTTGAACCATCTTGGTTGCAAAAAAATCCAAATGCAAGCAAAAAAATATATTTCCTTGCGTGCATAAATGTTGATACTGTGTGTTGTGACTTCTGCCTAACTTTCATAAAAAAATTATCAAACAATTCATAATTTTGTCAACTATTTAGACCCTGTTAATACATATTTTTAAAAATTTTACTACTCCCATTTCACTTGTTTATATTTTTATTTTCGTATGTCTCACTTATTTTGTCACTTATACTTTTCTAAAAAAAAATTATACATTTTAATCTTATTTTAAAATTTTTAATTTATATTTTTTTAAAATTTTTTTGAAATTAATTAGTTATCTTAATCTAAATCTAAAATTATTTTTATTATAAAATCATTATTTTTAATATTTAGTAATTAATTTAAAGCTAATTATATACTACTTATAACTCTCATAATTCTCGTGTTTACAGTAAAAATAACACCTTAGCCGAGACAAAAGAAATATTATTTATTAACATTAATGTTTTTTCATAAAAAATATAAAAAGTTTTAAATAAAATATTATCTCAAATATTATAATATATATTTAGTCTCTTTGATTTTGATTTGAATTTAATTTTTTTTATTTAAATTTTGATTTAAATAATATTTTAATATAAACTTTTTAAAAGAAATATATTATATTTTATTAAAATCATACCTACTTGAAAATATTGATTTTGATTTTAAATAAAAAATAAATCCACCCGTATATTCTAAACTAATTTAGCTTGATAGTGATAATTCAAGTAGGTTGTTAAAAATCAACCATTATAAGCAAGCGCTTTTCTCTCTCTCAAATTTAATTAAAATAAAGAACCGTGTTTCCCAATATATAGCAGAAAACGCGTTTTAGAGGAGTACCTAATATGCCGGTATGCTCACCAACTCCCGGTAGTCCAACTCCAGAATTGATCGGCACCGTCGATGACGTGGGTTCCACTCACAGTGAATGGTGCAGATTCACCTACAGGAATCACGGGTCCTGTTGGGAACTCTGTTCCTTTTCCATGCCGAATATATTTCCTACATTTATTGACTTATCTCCACGGACTACAAGCCTCCAATTTCCATAACCCATCAATCTTTAATGTCTTTGGAAAGTGAAATCAATTATAAATAAATAAATAAATCCCAAAAAGAAGACCAGGAAAAAAATAAATAAAACCCACGAAACAGTGCGTCAAGTCATTCATTCATATCATTCCCAACTTTTCAACAAAGCGATAAGAAAATTGTAATCAGGCAAGAACGATGTGAACTCTGTATTCACACTTAAATGGTGATAGTTTAGCTTATTTATCGATAATTCATTGGTCACCAAACATTGTAATAATAAAAGTCCCTTAAATAAATTAAATACTCATATCTGATCTGATGTATGAAGAGAGGCTAAAGCAAACAAGTGGCAATAAGTCAGCCCAACCATGTCATACCAAGCCCCAGCCATTTCTTGAACACTCCAGGACCCCAACTCCGGAAAGAATCGTAACCATCCATAAAATGGACAGCTCACTCGAATTAACGGTCAAGATTAATCCCAAGAGCGTCACTCCCAGAGAACTCTTAACATAACAGCACCGTTGCCCTTCAAAGCAGGTTGATTTGGTGAAGGCTTCAACCACGGGGACATACATACATACATACAAAGCCATCTCTCTTTTTCTATAAATCGCACTACTAATCCCAAATCAATCCTTCTTTCTTTCCTCTTATCTCACAGGCATTTAATACACAATTATTTTCCCTGCTTGTCCCTCTTTGGTAGAAAGATTTCATCTACTATTATGTGGAAATTCACCGAAAAAGAATGAGTTTAGGGATTTGGCAGTAGGAAGAAGAGATTTGGGTGGGTATTATTTTTTATTTTTTCTTTTTCTTTGTTTTTGGAAGGGTAATAGATTGGTTAATTGAGATCAGAAGAAGAAGAAGATGAGGATTGTGAGTACAATTGATTCTTCTGATTGCCCAGGATTATGTGGATTTTTGGTGGTGGAAGCTTATCCCAAAAGGTACTCCTCCAAGATCCCTTCTGATTTGGTACTTTTCTTAGGCCTTGGTTTCATAGATTGGTAATACTAATATATATATATTACCCTTCAGTTCAATTTGGTTAGGTTCCTGTTTCTTTACTTTCGTATTTGTATCTAAACGAAAGGACAAGAAATCTGTAGAAACCATATGGATTCGATGGTCTGGGTACAAGAAGATTATTGGGTTAGGATTGGATGTGGTTCATGTCTTATTTTAGGGTTCTAAGCTCTTATTCATTTTGTTTTCCTTGTATTGTGCGTTGGGTATTAACTATTAAGTGGTTGTGAATCAATCTTTTTGGGGATTGGGATTTATTGTAAGTGTCTGAATTGGGGAAATGAATAAGTTTAGAGTGTTGATGGAGGTGGGAGTTTGTTGCTGGGATTGACTTGATGAGAAGTTGTTCTTAAACCTTGATTGATGTCGAAATGGTTGTATTAACCCAACGAAGAACAACCAAAGAAGGGGTTATTTACTGAGATGGGAGATAGCCTACTGACTGCTTTGTCAATGGAAAACCATCACCCTTCAACCATATTGTCCATGGATTCAAGTGCCTCTTCTTCGCACGACGAATTGGACCTCGAAATGAATCGCCAAGTTGTCTTGACTCGACCCCCCGATATCAACTTACCCCTTTCGGTCGAACGAAGCCCCCCTCCCCAGCCATGGAACCCCGACCATTGTGACATTCTTGATGTTGGGCTAAGTACTCAAATGTACGAGACCGAGAGTTTCCTTAGCGCGCCGAAGGTTGGGAGGAAGTGTGCAAAGAGAGTTGATAGTATATGGGGGGCGTGGTTCTTCTTCAGTTTCTACTTTAAGCCTGTGCTGAATGAGAAGTCGAAGGCAAAAATTGTACGCGACAGTAGTGGCGTTTCCGGTTTCGATAAATCTGACTTGCAGCTCGACACGTTCATGGTTCAACATGACATGGAGAATATGTACATGTGGGTTTTCAAGGAAAGACCTGAGAATGCTCTGGGGAAGATGCAGCTAAGGAGTTATATGAACGGGCATTCTCGTCAAGGAGAACGTCCCTTCCCTTTTAGCAACGATAAAGGGTTTGTTCGTTCTCACAGAATGCAACGGAAGCATTACAGGGGGCTTTCGAATCCTCAGTGTGTTCATGGCATTGAGGTCGTTTCAGCCCCCAATCTTGTGGGTCTTGACGAAGAAGACAAGAAAAGATGGGCAGAGCTGACCGGGAGAGATCTCAACTTCACGATTCCACCCGACGCTAGCGACTACAGTTCATGGAGGAATCTGCCAAACACTGAGTTTGAACTCGAAAGGCCGCCTGCTGCAGTTAAGGGCAATTCACATTCCCACTCAAAAAAGTTGCTTAACGGATCGGTGCTCAATCTGTCGACTCAGCCGGCCAATCATAGCAACGGGGATGCAATGGAGCTGTCTCCCGTCAGCAACAAGAGAAAAAAAGATTATTTCTCGCAGGGAAACGAGGATGATTGCTATCTGCCTGTGAATGCTCCCGATCGAGTCCCTGACTTAGACGCGCAGCCACACTGGCTAAATGAATTCAGTGGGGTGCTGCGGAATGTTTATGGCCCTGTTACAGCAGCCAAAACAATCTACGAGGATGAACAGGGCTACCTGATCGTAATCAGCCTCCCCTTTGTAGATCTTCAGAGGGTCAAAGTCTCTTGGAGAAACACTCCTACACACGGCATCATCAAAGTATCTTGTGTGAGCACATCACGCGCGCCATTTATCACGAGACAGAACCGAGCTTTCAAGCTCACGGATCCTTCATCCGAGCACTGTCCTCCGGGGGAATTCTTCAGAGAGATCCCACTCTCCACACGAATCCCCGAAGATGCTAATATAGAAGCTTACTACGACGGACAAGGGACATTGCTCGAAATATTGGTGCCGAAACCGGGAGAAGGACCCGAAGAGCACGAAGTTCGGGTATGCCTCCGCCCTCACCATGGAGCTAATGATCTTATGTTAACCTAAAACGTGATTTACAAGAATGGAAGGAAGGTTGTCTGTCATTGATATCAGACTTTCATGTGCAATACTTATTCGGAGTACTGAAATGTTGTCCTTTTTTTTTTTTTAATTTTATTTTGTTGTAGTGTTTTGAGCTTTATGATAAGGAAATATAATTGATGTATGCTTTGCTTCGTGTCGTTTTTTTAAAGTTTTTTTGTGATCAGTTATTGTGTCCTTTTGGTGATGTGGTTTTCAGTGGTGGTGGGAGTTCCCCATTATGGGAATGAACTTGGATAATGATATGAAATAGAATATGTTAAAACATGGACAGATGGGTTTGATCGACTCAACGGTCGAGAGAAACTCATACGTGGGGGCAGATAGAATCACATATCTAAGCCTGGTTTGGTAAAGCCGGGTCCCCACGCATGTGTGAATGTGCCACTAAGCAATAATTGAAGCAATCTAGTTGATGGCAAATTTGACTTGGTTATCTTTGATTTAATATGCTTTTCTTAAAAAAAATTTTAGGTCGTGTTTATTTAAGATTTTAATTTAGTTTTTGAAAGTTTTAGGGTGTCTTTCTTTAATGATTGGATTTGAATTTTTAGTTTATAAGCAATAAAAATAGTGACATCAATAACTTTTTTAGGTATATTTGCAAATATAGCATTAATTATTGGGTAATCTTGTTTGTAACCATAGATAATCAAGGTTGTGTTACTTATGGTTTGAGAATTTTTTTTTTTTTTTTTTGGATTGTTTTAATTTAATTTTTTAAAAGAAAATTAAGTATAAATATTAGATGTGAAATTTTATACTGCCTCTAAGGGTCAATTTAGTTTTTAAGTATTGATTTTGAAATATTAATTATTATATAAAAAATTTAAGTACAAATTAAAAAAAATTACAAAAAATATTTTTTATTAATATCTTATAATATTAATGGAAAGATATTTGTAAAAAAAATTATATAAAAATAAAAATATTTTTAATGTTAAAAGATAAATGTTACTGGAGAGTATAAACTCTATGATTTTTTCTTTTCTTTTCTATTAGATAGTTGAAAAATAAAATAAGAAAAAATTATATATAGTACCCATGCAAGACATCGGTGAATCTTAAAATTACACCTATACCAATTCGACCACTCCTTATGAGTGTAAGATGCAGTAAGAGGTCCGGTGGCGTGGACTGGATTCGTGACCGTAAATTCATAAATTCATTCGATGCTTCTAGATTATTTGTCACACACGGGTCGCCCAGTGTGACTTGCCTTAATATACCACTTCCGTGAGTTTTTATAGCAAACACGTTATTGATGAACTACATAAATATGTGTTATCTTAATATTTCTGTACATCTGCAACAAAACCTAACGAGAATGATCCAAGTTCCCTCACAAAAGTTCTCGGCCTTCTAGAACCCTAGGGTTAACACTTAACGTCTTTCTTATTACACTTACTTTTAGATTCCTGAACACAATTAATGGCCATAGACTTGTTGAGGGTCACTAAAGTGGCCTTAACCTCAAAAAGAACACCTCCTACATTTGGAAGAAGGGATGCAATCAGTGTATTAACAAATTCTTCTCACCAAACACAGCTTGTAAATTAGACCGCTTGGGGCAGCAAGATATGGATGTAAACAAGATACGCCTCTCCTAAAAACCATGGATGAGATGAGATCTTCTCAGCTCCAAATTGTGTTCTTCAATCTTTTTGTTAACAACTATCAACTAGTCTTTGGGCCTTGCCTATAACCGATAAGAAACGTATCTTGACATGACTAGGCACCGAAGCATCCAAAATTCTCCTTTAAGTTAACTTCACAGTATTTGCTTAGAGCATATACTGAACAATAAGTTCTATTATGTTCGATTGGATATAATCAACCCCTCTCTCTAGAATTATTGTATGGGCCAAAGAATGGCTGTTATCATGGAATCATGTGACTAGGATCACGATTATCGATTTGAATAACTCAAAGCGATTTGATCATTGCATATCATTGAATCGGAAACTAAACTAGCCATGAAAGCCCAGAGACTCCAATAACAACATATGAAGACATATGATTACAGCAGCTTAGGTATAAATAGGAACAGAAACTAACGTATATGAACAATTACCGAGACAATGACTCATTCTACTAGCTAGTGATGCTACTTCAATGTAATATGAATGATAGCCAAAATACTGAAACAAGATACCTTTCATTCTACTATCTAGTGATGCAAGAAATATGATTCATGTTTAAATTTATTGATACCTCCGAAATCAGCATAATCTATTTTTATGCGTTCATAAGAAGCCGAAATTCATGAATATTCACAGAAGTGTTGCTCATCGACATCGACAACCTCACTGCTTCCTATAAAAATGCTTCAGAATGCATATCCAGAAGCACTATTAATGAATCTTAAACAACTAGTAAACGGAAACAGTACCAAATGAATGTACACGATGCCATAAGTCTTAACAACTCTTTCCCAAATCTAGATGGATACACAGAGCAGAAACAAACTCGTTAACAATCCTACGGGAAGAGCGTATGAGAAGATTTTCCATATTTTCAAAAAAAGCATCGAAAACACAAATGTACTTATAAGATCTAAAAGTAATCCTTACTAAGAAATCTAACAAATACGCAAAATGTCAGAAGTAAAACGCATTCAAACAAACATGTAAAAATGCAATACCAGGAGCTCAGATCTTACCCCAACCTGTTCCTCGGGTTCATGGCAACCTGATTCTTAGCAGCGTCACCTCCGGACCAGAGAACACGTGATCGTTCGACGACATATCCTATCGCTTAACCTTGTTCTTCTCCTTCCATTGCTCCAACGAGCTTCTACCTAGCCAGTTAGTTATCAGGTATTTATACGGTAGAAGAAAATGGCTTCGGTTCCAGAACGTTCGGATACCTTAGATGAACCGCGACCGTTGGCTCAAACACACACGGTGCAGATTCAACTCGCATTTTGTTCACAGCTTATTTAATTTTTTGATTTGGCGGTAGTTTTCCTTCGCTGGCGTATTTGTCAATAATTTGTTGTATGACGTGGCCAATTCAGATTTCAAAATATGAATAAATAAATAAAGCCCAATCCAAAGAAATTGAAGCCCAATTCCTCAGGCCCATTTTATATTAATTATACATTGAATATTAAATGAAGTGTTGAACCATTAATTACTATGGAATATTAGGCTTTAAATTTCACAAGTGGTCGAGATACGCCTCATTAATATTCAAGGATTCAAAACCTAAAAATGAATCTGGGTTATTAATTATCTATATCTATACAAATATCAAGGATTCAAAACCTACAAATGATTATAGTATTTTTCTCCCTAAAAAGTACTACTATATTATATTTATATTTAATATGCATGTAATATTTTTTAAATATTGCATCAAATATATATAGCAGTAATTAATTATTTTAATTTAAAATATTAAAGACAATATTTTAAAATAAGAAAATACATGTATTTGTTTGTGTTTCAATAACTACTCCCTCATATGTCAGATAATATGTGCACGAAGATACGTTAATAAGTATATTCGTAAAAAAAATTATAAATTAATAAGATAGACAACTAAATACTTTAATTAAAATTTTAAAAAAATATATATATAAATTATAAAATTAAAAATGTGATTAAAGTATATGATTATATTTTTACTTTTTTAAAAAAAATAAACTATCTGAGACGACAAAAATAGAAAATATGTACGGACGAAGGAAGTATATATTTGCCATGTATAATTAATTCATAATAAAATTATACTTCTATTTACATAGACATTTTTAAGGATGCATTTGATATGGAGAAATAAAAATATTTTTATTCTTTTATTTATTTATCAATATTGAAAAATAAATGATGTTCTATTTTTGGTTTTTATTATTTTTCTTTGCAAAGAGAAATTGAGAGAGAGGTGAAAATTTAGAAATGTAAAATGTGTTCATTTGATAATTTTATTATTATTATTATTATTATGCTTCTATTTGATTTTTAAAATTTATTATAAAAAATATTATTTTTTTTAACAAAATATTACTTTCAATTACAATCTAATAAAAAATTAAAGCAAAAAAATTACAAACTAAACAAATGATATTTCTCCACGAATTTCCACTCAATTAAAACTGTCTTATCTGATTCATCGTATTTGTTTTCACTCTCCTAGAATACAAAATATTACCTCATCCATATCGAATAGTGTATATTGTCGCATTTCTATGTTATATTTTTTCAATTGGAATTTCTACTTTATCAAATAGAATAGCTAATTCATATTCTCTATTGAACTTTCAATTTCTTTATAAATTTATATTCTATTATTTATTTTTTTATAATTTTTTTTTTAACAAATGCACTCTAGAAATTTTGAGAGTATTTATTAATCCTTATTTGTTAAAAATATATATCACATCAAATAGTTATTTTTATGTAAAATATTTTATTAATAATTTGTATATTATATAAAAATAGTATATTCAACTAGTATTTACATCACATTGAATACACACTTTTTATTCAACCTTTATCATTTCTAAAAATTTTCAAAAGTTGCAAAACTTTATTGGGATCTATTTGTTTGTGGGCTCGGTAACTCAAATTTGCTTATAATTTAGTGATTTATAAGGTTGACATCATATTTTTTTATAATTTAAAAATTGTACAAAATTTTTTCATATTTTAAAAAAATATTGCGTAAATATTTTTAAATATTTTCACAAATATTACACATAATCTTCTAAAAATAATTTTGTAAAATATTTTGAAAAATAAGGGAATATAATGCAAATTTTAAATCATAAAAGAGCGTAAGAGGGAATATAATGCAAATTTTAAATCGCGGGTGAATTATTAGTATTTTTTGCCAAAAACCTATAAGGTCTTATAAATCATTGTTACATAAAAATATGTTTAGAAATCATTATTACATAAAAATATATTGTAATTTTATAACTTTTAATATGAATGAAAAAGCTAGGAATCCATGTCTACTCTGTGGGTAATCTTACATAATCATATATATATATATATATATATCGAAAAAATATCACAATAAATTTCAGTGAAACCATCTATTGATGGTACATTTCCTTTAATATTTATATTGTTTTTATAAATAAAATAAAATAAAATAATAATAATAAATTATTGATAAAATATTTGT